TCTCACTTGCCGTGAGCCAGCTCCTCCCCCTGTGGTCTTTCTTCCCGTTGCTTTTCATTCACTTCTCTGCATGTCCTACTTTCTGGAAAGTGGTCGATTTTCTGTTCCTAGAATTGCTGCTCTTCTCTTCTATCTCCTGTTGAGTTTGTATAGGTGTTCATAATGATTTGGTAACTATCTAGCTGAACTCCTGGGACCTGATGATATTTCAGTCTCCTACTTATCCTCCATCTTACTTCTTCTCCCCTGGATCAAGTATTCTTAGCTGCATATTTTTATCATTTAGCACCCTGAATTATTCCAGTCCTTTGTGGCCTACTATGTCTCTGTGGATATGTCTGCTGCCAGCCTAATGTTCCTACCTTTGTAGGTTATGGACCTCTTGTCCTGAGCTGCTTTCAGGATTTTCTCTTTGTCTCTGAGATTTGCAAGCTTCACTATTATATGTTGAGGTATTGATCTATTTTTATTGATTTTTGAGAGGTGTTATCTTTGCCTCCTGAATGCCTGCTTCCATCCCCAGATTAGGGAAGTTCCCTGCTATAAGTTGTTCCAACATACCTTCTGCGCCCCCCTTCCTCCTCTTATGGGAGCTTAAATATTCTAATACTCTTTCACCTGATCGTATCACTTCTCTCTTGAATTCTCCCATTGTGATCGAGTAGTTGTTTATCTCTCTTTTTCTCAGCTTCCTTATTCTCCAACATTTAGTCTTCTATATCACTAATTCTCTGTTCTGCCTCATTTATTCTAGCAGCTAGAGCCTCAATTTTTTATTGCATCTTATTAACATCTGTTTTGATTTTGACTTGATAAGATTTTATTTCTCCAGAAAGGGATTCTCTAGTGTCTTCTATGCTTTTTTGAAACCCAGCTAGTATTTTATAATCATTATTCTGAACTCTACTTCTGACATCTTACTTCTATCCATACTAATTAGGTCCCTGTCAATTGGTACTACCTCTTGTTCTCTTTTTCTCATGGTGAGATTTTTTGTGTTGTCATTCTATCCAGAGAAGAATAAATGAATGAGAGAACAAAATACTAAAATGGCAAAAATGCTCCAGAGAAATATACACTAAACAAATCAGAAGAGACCTGAAACAAACAAACAACAAGAGAGAGAGAGAAAGAGAGAATATAATGAGAGAGAGGTGAGCAGAACAGAGCAATACATTGGATCCTCTGTGTTTGCTTTGGTCTGTTTTTTAGAAGAAACTATATCCCAAAATTGTAAAGAAGGTAAAGGGGGTATGTGTATATATGTGTGTGTGTGTGTTTATATTCTATATTATATTATATGTATTATATATGATATATAATAAATTCATAATATATTTTGTTTATGTATTTATATGTTAACTCATATTATAAATATAAATTTATAAATTATAATATACATTATATAAAAATATATGTTATATTATATATTATGTAATTTTTATATATCTTGATATATAATATACAAAATATATACAAAAATAAAATTAAATACATTGAAATGATAGAATGTAACTATAAAGATGAAAATTATAAAAGACTTTAAAAAAGAGAATATAATCAGATAGGCAAAGACAACAAGGCAGTATACTAGATTCTGTATGTATTTCGGTCTGTTAGAAGAAACTGTATTCCAAAATTGTAAAGAAAGAAAAACTTATGTGTATATCATTTCCATTCTGCACGAATAGCTTCTTTTAGTAAAATTTTTAAAATAGTAAATCTACTAAAAATGAATTAGCTTAGTTCTTTTTATATGAGAATATTTTTATTCTCTTTAATGCCTGAAAGACATTATCATTGGATATAGGACTATATGTTTACAGCTTTTTCTTTCAGTATTTTTTTAAAAAAGGTTTTATTTTGGGGGTGCCTGGGTGGCTCAGTGGGTTAAAGCCTCTGCCTTTGGCTCAGGTCATGGTCTCGGGGTCCTGGGATCGAGCCCCCCATTGGGCTCTCTACTCAGCAGGGACCCTGCTTCCTCCTCTCTCTGCCTGCCTCTCCATCTACTTGTAATCTCTGTCAAATAATTAAATAAAATCTTTAAAAAAAAAGATTTTATTTTTAAGCAATTTCTATACCTGATGTGAGGCATGAATGTACAATCCTGAGATCAAGAGTCCCACACTCCACTGACTGAGCCAGGCAGATGTCCCTCTTTAAGCACTTTAAAAATGTTATTTCTTTACTTCTGGATTCCACAATTTCTGATGAGAAGTCTGATATTATTCAAATCATGAAATGAATTGTTTTTCTCTAGTTGCTTTCAAGATACTTGTCTTTAGTTTTTGGCAGTTTGATTTGGTTTGTTTGGGAGTAGATTTTTTGAGTTTATTCTATTGAGATACACTGAGCTGCTTGAATCTGTCTTTTGCCAAATTTGAAGGTTTTTTTGGCCACTATAACTTCAAATATTTGTTCTCCACCACACTTTTTCTCCTGTCCTTATGAGACTCCACTGACACAAATGTCAGCCCTCTTCCGTATTGCCCCACAAGTGTTTGAGACTCTGATCATTCTTATTTTCCTCTGGTTGTTCAGATAATTTCTATTGATCTATCTTCAAATATAAACTCTTCCATATATAAACTGATGATTCCATTCTACTATTGAGCCTGTCTGATAAATTTTTTTCTTTTTTTCTTTGGTTATTATATTTAACTTATTATATTTATTTATATATTATATAAAATATAATATATAAATATATATTTATATATTATTATATTTAAGCTTTAAAATTACCATTTGGTTCCTCTTTATGTCTTTTATGTCATTTTCTGACACTTTTTTTCTTTCTATTAATTTCAAAAATGTTTTTTCTTTGTATGTTGGAGCATTTTTATAATAGTTGCTTTGAAGTCTTTATCAGAAAGTTCCAACATCTTTGTCATCTTGGTTGTGTTGGCATCTATTGATTGTCTTTTCCAAAGCAGATTGAGATTTTCTTGGTTCTTCATATATGAAGTGATTTTGAATTAATATCATGGACATTTTGAATATTAAGTTATGAGACTGTGGATCTCAACTCCTATGGAAAATATTGATTTGTTTTTGCAGAAATTTGACTCAATTTGGTTCAAGCTACAAGTTTCAATCAGTTTTCCATGTTTAGTAGTTTCAGTGTCAATTTGTTTTTCACAGCCTTTGCAGTACTATTCAGATATGTGGGACATCCAGTGGCCCACCTGGGACCTAGATGGTGGTTTATCCTGGAGTTCAGTTCTCAGAATTTATGGTATACTGTTTAGTATCAAATCCATGTAGCTCAGCGTGAACCCAATGTTATGAAGTTACTTTCCTGAGCTGCTCCCCCTTCACAATTTACTTGGTGCTTTATAGTCTCCTAGAGCTCCTTTAAATAATGTTAGATTTGGTTCTGATGCAGTTGAATTACTTGGAATCAGTTGGGTCCTTTCGAAGCTTGCTTTTTAAAGCTTTTTAATGATGATCACATAGCTGCTTTTATGTTAACTTAGCTCTACTACTAAGGCAGTATTCTTCACATGAGTCTACTGGAGGCCCCATGTATTATATGATCTTTCTTCTCTGGTTAATGGGATCAGAAATCATTCTTAGTTCTCAGGGAGCTACAGGAATTGTCCTAACTACAATTTTCTGGTAATTGTCTCCTTGTCCTTCGGTAGTATCTTCTCATGTATGTGCAGATTAATACTCAGCCAAAGAGTTAATGCTAATGTCCAGAACTCAGCAGTTCTTTCTTCTTTGGCACTCTACTCTCATATTCTAGATTCTTTAGCCTTCCTCATATCTCACTTATCTCTCTTTCCTCTACTCATTCAGACCAGCGTGCTCTGTTCAGGTTTTACTCTCCTATGCTATGACGTGGAAACTACTTCCAGACAGTAAGCTGGTACAGTTGTAGGGTTTCTAGCTGGTTTGTTTCCCTTCTTTAAAGGATTATTTAGTCCTGTGCTACTTATTGTCCAATGTCTGAAAACATTTTCACCCCACATAAATTGTCCAATTTTTCAGTTATTTAAGTTTTGAGGGTAAAGTTGGTCTCTATTGCAGTGTCTTAGCCCAAAGCAGAAGTGTCAAAGATTTTTTTTTTTAATCCATTCACTAGCCTATTTCTTTTTGATAGAACCTAGAGATCCATGTCACTATCTTTAAAGTTTTCTAAACTTTTTACACCTACAACTAATACAATGTTATATGTCAATTTAAAAAAAGAATTAATTTCAAAAAAGATTTCCAGACATTGAAAATCCAAATATTTTCCTTTACTTTTCATTTTAATGCACACTAAACTAAGAAAATTTTTATTTTTTCTAAGTGAAATGATTTCTTAGTCAAGATTACTGCTACTCTGTTGAAGTTTCTTGTTTTTCTTTGACTTTACTTGATGATCTCATAGAGTTGTTTTGATGACCAAGTAGTATAACATTTGAAATTCTTTAAAATGTGTTATTCAAATGTAACATACTATCCTGAGCCATCCGGTGGACTTCATAAATGAAGCCCTAGTGGGATATTGTATTCATTTTTTCTAAAAATGTTATTTTATATACAGTTATTTTACTCCCACAAGTATTGAGAATCTTTAGAAGAGTAAATATTTGTATTCTGATTTTATAAATAAAAATTTCCCCACTACAACTTCCTTTTAGTTTGGTATGCCCATTAACTAAGGGAATTGTAGCTATATTGACATATCAGCCTATTATCTTTCAAAGTTGACAAAGAGTGGGGAATGAGAACTATGTGCTTTACGAGGCTGTCACCTTTGATGTAGTTTAACTCTGAATAGCTTTGGATGAAGGAATTTAAATCTATTAAACCGAAGATTATATTTAACCTAGTTAATAGTTCAGTCTTTTGGTTATTACCTCTGTAATTTTTTAAACATATTTATTTTATATTTAAGCAACTGATAATTTGTTGAAGAGCTTTAATGAGGACTTAGTTATTTAAAAAAAAAACTATTTCAAATTTTGCTGGTAAATGAAATAATTAACTATGTTTCTCTTGCTTAGCAATTATGGAATGGTCAGCCTTGGATGAATCTACTTCTAACAGAAAGTTATCAAATATTTCAGAATGCTATCTACAGTATAGGAAGAAAAGCACTTTATCTTCCAGACTGTTTGAACCATCATTATTCCCAAAGTTAAATGGAAAAAACCTCCAATATCATAAAATTATGGAGGATAATGATTACCTTGAATATAAAAGATTAAAAAATCCTTTGCAAATAAAAAAATTCCCAAGTGGGATTGCTAGTAGCAATATAGGACTCCAGGAACCATATTCAAAGGACGGCATAAACTCTAAGAAACGTTCAGAGAAGATTGAAATTCATGACTCAAAGTCTATACCGTATAACTTGAAGAGGATTACAAGCCTCAAAAAGTCTCTGGATAAAAGTGATACTTTTAGGATCCCCAGACTTCAGAAGCCAGATGTGAGAAGGCATTCCAGCCCCCTAAAACAGGTTTCATCAAAGGAAAAAACTGCAATGAATGCTCTGGGTCAGTATCTTATATGTGAGTCAAAATCTAGGTCCTTGAGTTCTTGAGTTATCACAGGAATGAGCTGAATTAATCAGTTATTACATAGTTGTATGCATTTTAATTGTCAGTACCTTTGAGTAACTGCCACTTCTGGTCTATAGGCCAATGCATAGAACACTGTGGTTTTGACTGTTGTGCCTTTCCAGATGCTCCCTTTTTCAGATTCCTCACTTTGACCAAGAAGCTTACTCAGTAATTAACCGGACTGACTCAAGTTCCCTAGAAAATAGAAGGCCTGTTTTCTTTTGGAAATGGTTATTTTATCATTTACTTAACAAAGTAGGTAGGAAGTCTATGTGAAATATTTGCTCAGGTTCCGTAATTTAAAGCTATGATATCCATATGCTGTATGATAAAATAATACCTCAGATATTATTTCCTATGGATGTGGGAATATCAAGAGAAAATTAATATCATACATCTCAGCTGCCCTTGGCTTTATAGTCTTCCTCAAAGATAAGTAAGGCTTAAAAAAAATGATAAGTAAGGTTTCCCAAATGATACATGTTTTCGTACTTCTGTGGTACCTCTATCAGAAATACTGTGTATAGAACTTAATTAAATACTCCTTCCTGTAGTCCTTGACTGAAGTTGCTTAAGTTATGTTTATTTTCTTTAAAGAAACATAGTGACCTTTTTATTGCACTTCGTATTACATGTAATTGTTAAAATGAGTGCTTAGTGAAATATTAGTGATTCATACACAGTAATGCATGTTTTCAATAACTCAGTTGGAAAGGGAGTGTGCTCTATTAAGGAGGCACAACGATGTTTGTTTGAGTCCTTTACCAATGCCCTACTATTACTCTGTGCCTCATTCCTATTTCTGAGTTCTTTATATTCCAGGAAGAATTAAAAACCTAGTTAAAGGAATAATGGAATAGTAAGCATTTACCCAGTGACTAGAAGACTGTGGAAGAAAGTGGTTATTTATCTTCCCGGAGTCACTAAAATCAAATTACCTACCATTGCCATGCTTCATGTTCTGTGTATAGAGAAGTGTGAAATAGGGTATGACTTCCAAAATAAACTGATGGTAATTGAACATCTATGAAATGTGACTGTCACTTGATTTACATTTTAAAAACATTTTTAACTTTTCATTTAAAAATCATTTTAAAATCATAATAATTACACAAAGGTAAAGACATTCCTATATAGTCTTTATCTAGTTTTCCTAGGTGTTAAGATCTTGTAGGACCATGGTAAATGCACTGAACAAGGAAATTAACACTGATATAATATTATTTACTATTCTGAAGACCTTATTTGATTTTTTTCATTTGTTCCATAAATGTTCTTTTTTAAAAATTGACATACAATGTATTATTTGCCCCAGGAGTACAGGTCTGTGAATCATCAGGCTAACACATTTCATAGCACTCACCATAGCACATACCCTCCCTAATGTCCATAACCCAGCCACCCTATCCCTCTCCCCTCCCCCAGCAACCCTCAGTTTGTTTCATGAGATATCTGGTTCAAGGTTTCATCCAGGATCTCAGATTACATTTAATTGTCATGTATCCCAAGTCTCCTCAGATCTGGGGTAGTTTTATGACCATGACACTTTTGAAGAGTATTCACTAGTTATTTTGTATAATGTCCCTCATTTGGATTTTTCCTTGTATTTATTAATGAATAAGTTCAGGTTATACATTTTTGGCTGGAATATTACTGAAGTGATATTGTGCCCATCTCAGTGCATGATATCAGGGGGCTCATCATGGCCATTTATATCTGCTTTTAAAATGTAATGATTTTGAAGATTGTGAACGGAAAGTATGGTAGACCAGTGGAGCACTGGGCATTATACGCAAACAGTGAATCACAGAACACTATATAAAAAACTATTGATGTACTATATGGTGACTAATGTATAATTAAAAAAAAACAAGAAGAAAACAATAAAGTGATGGGAAGGGCACGAAATCTCATTTTTTTGCTTGGAATCCTAGAATTTGAACACATTAGTGTTATGATCTCTTGAACTCGTATATTATATTTTAATCAGAAGCAAGCAGCATTGGCTGAGCAACTTGAACAGGTTGTTCCTCCAAGCAAATAGTTCATAAATGCTTATAGAATTTTCAAGATTGTTTTCTGTTTGAACTACAAGGGAAATATTTACAACAGAAATATGAAGAAAAAGCAGTCCTGTGAAATAATAAGTAGATAAAACTTGCTTTCTGATTACTAGATAAAGATTTTGGGCGCTAATTGTTGCTTAAGACACATAAATTCTGTAGCCGAATAGTACTTTACATTTTGTACATTTAGAAAACATCTGTGAAGCTATCCATAAACTCCAAGAAAATTACATTGCTGCAGAAGAACTTCAGTCCGTTTTGCCTTCACTAGGAATTACTTTATCGGACAAAGAGCTCAAGAAGATTGTGACAGATACTACTCACAATGGTGAGACTGATAATGCCAAGCTTCTTGAGAAAATTAGGTAGTTTTATGGGTAGTATTAAATGATGGAATAAGTTCATTCAACTAGGAATGGAGCAGAATGGGCCATGCTAAAGATGATTCTAAAAGAACAGATACAAAAATGGAAAACAGTATTTTAAAAAAAGTTGCTGGAAAGTCTGACCTAATGGATTGGTTTGGAGGAGCTAGGCCTTTTATATCTCAATTGTTTATGTGGGACTCCATGACTATCCCTTAGCTATACCTTCTAGTTTGGAACATGTACTGTGGAAGTCTGATCCAGTTATAGGGAGCTTTAGGCAATAAAACCACAAAATCTCTGAGCAAATAGCCCAAGGATCCAAGAAGAAATCATTGGAGATTCCAAAATGGAGGAGGAGTGCTACAGCTAGGAATTTAGGGCTAGTGCTACTTAAACAAAAAGGCAGTCAGTTAGCATCTAGAAGATGTTAAATGGCATATCCCAGTCACCAGCCTAAGTTCAAGGCAGAGTTTAAGTTTCCAGGAAGGGTTGTTGTATTAAAGAAGTTGTTCTATCATTAAGTAAGAACTGCCCATAGCAGAAGTTTAGTTGAGGAGAAGGCAGAGGCAACATTTTGGGAAAAGACTGACTTGGGATTGTGTTAGAAATGAATTCTTAGAACCTGAGCAAAATTTCCTAGCTAAAATAAATAGAAAATAAGATTTGTTAAAAAAAAAAAAATCTCAGGAATAGGTGCTACTAAAATTATTGAGCCCTTTCTTTTCTTTTTTTAAAAAGATTTCTTTATCGGACAGAGAGAGATCACAAGTAGGCATAGAGGCAGGCAGAGAGAGAGGAGGAATCAGGCTCTCCACTGAGCAGAGAGCCCAATGCAGGGCTCGATCTCAGGACCCCAAGATCATGACCCGAGCCGAAGGCAGAGGCTTAACCCACTGAGCCACCCAGGCACCCCTATTGAGCCCTTTCTGTTGCTTATCAGGATTGGTATGATCACTGTGGAGGCTTTGTACCTAAAAATAGATAGTTATTTGGATCAGCTGGATGTAGGAGGTAGAGATGGGGACACTTGGGTCTGTAAGGAGTGGTTAGTATTGTCAAGGTGTCTTAATGGTTAGCATATTGAGTGGGTTTTCATGATGGTGTGAAATAGACTCAAATTTCTCATGGTCCATCTGTATGGGCACTTTTCCTTTTTCCTATATCTATCAACAACTGAGTACCTAACTCAGTCCATTGCACTTTATCATAGATATTTAAAAATTGTTAAGTAATTGTTGAAATGAAATGAACTGACCTAATTTAGAAAGACTCATCTAGGGGAAACAAGTTATGAAGACTTAATAGGATGATGACAAAGTGAAGGAGAAGTAATTCTTTCTTAGTTGTATTAAAAAACAAATTTACCTTTTATGCAAAAACATAACAATGCATAATCCAACTCTTTATTTTACAGAAAGTGGAATGGTGAACTTAGATGACTTTATGAATGCTCTTTCCATGGAGCAAAGTCCTCCTGAATATGATGGTAAGTGGGAAGTTTATTTTAAAATGATTTGGAGGAAAGAAACAGGTTGAAAAGAGTTAGGTTCAACTGAACTGAGTTTGCTTTTTGGATAGATACTTAATAGTCCTGAAATCCTCAGGCAAGCCATTTGCCAGTTTGTTAAAGACTTTCCCTGTCAAGGTAATAATAGCTAACTTGCTTACCTCCCAGAGTTGTTATGTGGATTTTAAAAACTGTAAAGTACTACATAAATGTAGAGTAATAGTAAGGAAATGAAGAGATGAAATAGGTAATTAGCTACATTCTTAGCAATTGATGGGTGATTTGATTTTTAATTTTTTTAAATACTTTTTTCCTTTATTTGTGAGAGAGAGAGAGAAAGAGAAAAAGACAGCACAAGCAAGGGGAGCGACAGACAGAGAGAGAAGCAGGCTCCCCGCTGAGCAAGGAGCCCAATGATGGGAATGGTGCGGGACTCTATTCCAGGACCCTGGGATCACGACCTGAGCTGAGTCACCTAGGTGTCCCTGATTTTTAATTTTTTGTAAAGGACTTGTTTAAATGAAACACTGGTTTGGTTTGCCTTTGTTTTAGAGCATTTCTAAAAACAATTCTGTTGAGGTATAATTTACATACATAAAATTCACCTGTGCAATTTTTATGAAATTTACAGACATATAACTATAACTACAGTCCAGTTTTTAAAAAATTTTTGCTTGCACTGATTTTATTTTTTATACAAACAATTAAATATTTTTCAGCAAGATTAAAAAATAAAAGATAAGGCTTATTGTTTATATTTCCTTTTATTTATTCATATGCTAAAGAAGAAAGATAAGCTTTTTGTTTCTTCCCAAAAGATTTCTCAGAGAAGGGAAAATTAATCCAAAGGAAAGATTTTCTCTTATACTTAGATAAAAAGTCTCATGTTGGGGCACCTGGGTGGCTCAGTGGGTTAAGCCTCTGCCTTCGGCTCAGGTCATGATCTCAGGGTCCGGGGATCGAGTCCTGCATTGGGCTCTCTTCTCCGAGGGAAGCCTGCTTTCCCCTCTCTCTCTGTCTCTCTGCCTACTTGTGATCTCTTTCTGTCAAATAAATAAATAAAATCTTTAAAAAAAAAGTCTCATGTTAAAAGCTACTTCATCCTTTGTCCTTTCTGATAAATGTAAGTGCTTAAGTGTCTGGATTTCTTGAAGACACTATTAGCAAATCAGTTTCTTGAATGCTACACCATGTAAGGTTATTCACCAACTCAGTTGTTGTTTCATTGCTGTTTTTGAAATTTGGGAAATGTTCAGGCATTATTTCTTTGAGTATCTTTTTAACCATGGTCTCTTTCTCTTCTTCTGGGACACAAGTGTTAGATTTTTTGTTTTTTGTTTTTGAGAGAGAGAAAGAGAGCAAGTGGGAGCATGAGCAGGGGGATGGGGCAGAGGGATAGGGGTAAGCAGACTCCTGGCTGAGCAGGGAGCCTGATGACAAGCCTGATGTGGGGCTTGATCCCAGGACCCTGAGATCATGACCTGAACTGAATGAAGTCAGATGCTTAACAGAGTGAGCCATCCAGGTGCTCCCTTAGGTTGTTTTTATATTCCTAGGTGTCTGAAATTATTCCTTTTTTTTTGTTTTGTCAGTTTTCTGTGTTGTTCATGGGGTTATTTCTATTTCTGTTTCTTAGTTCATTGATACTTTCCTTTCTCTCCTCCCTTCAACTCTTGCGTCCATCTGCTGAGCTTTTTATTCTAGTTATTGTATTTTTTAGTTATGAAATTTCCATTTGGACTTTGTTGGTGTGTGTTGGCTCTCTCAGTCTTCACATACTGGCCTTAAACAGGAAAGACCCTCACCAATCAGTCCAGCAGATATTCTCTGGGCCTCTATGGACTTTTTCCTTACCCAGGCTCTAGGACTGACAAGACACATGCCAGTTCTTAAAAAGCTGAGGTGCTGAATGCATGAATAAACGCTTTTCCTCTTGGAGGGTGGGGGTGGACTAAGAGTTGGGAATTTTAATCTGCTCTGTGCTCAGCAGAAGGGAGGATCACTGGCATCCGCCAGCCCACGCCACCACCTTTATTCTTTCTAAACAACTAGGCTATACTAGAATCATCAGAGCTCCAAGATTGGCAAGACAAGAGCCAGTCTTCTGAGAAGGCCTTTTGGAAAAGTTGGACTGGTGGATGTGTGAACCAATTGCTCTTTTCCCTTGGATGAAGCTGGGAGCTCTTCTGGATCATAAGTGCTGCACTGGGGGCAGGCTCTCCAGCTTTTGCAGGAGGTTGTCCCAAATCTTACTGCCAGCTTCAGTGCATCTGGTTTTGCCTTCTCCTGGGGTGTAAGAACCTTTCAGTTAGTTTCTGGTTTCTCACAAAGGGAATTTATTTTTGAATTTCTACGAAGCAGTGTGTTAGACTTCCTATTGAACCATTATGCTGATGTCACTCATCAGCTCTTTACTTTTACATGAAAATTTCTTTCACTTTCACAAGATAGGAACATGTATCTTGTACATATTTATATATAAGAATCATTTTTTTGGGACGCCTGGGTGGCTCAGTTGGTTAAGCAGCTGCCTTCAGCTCAGGTCATGATCCCAGTGTCCTGGGATCGAGTCCCACATCGGGCTCCTTGCTCATCAGGGAGCCTGCTTCTCCCTCTGCCTCTGCCTGCCATTCTGTCTGTCTGTGCTTGCTCTCTCTCCCTCTCTCTCTCTCTCTGACAAATAAATAAATAAAATCTTAAAAATAAAAAAGAATCATTTTTTTAAGAGTCATCTAACTCAGACATCATTTTGATCATTTCTTTGTTTAGCGTAATGATGGCCAGTGATTGCCTAAAATTGATTAACTCCAGATAATGGCCTTAATGCCCTCCATTGCCCAGCTTCCTCACTTTACCTATTCTAATCTATTAGGGAAAGTATTTGAGTTTAATTTGTTCCAAAGTTTACATACCCCCACCCCCACATCTGTCAACCCCCTTAATAATGCTATATGTTTGCAAGTTATTTTAAGAAAGCTTTTATTGCAGTAAAAATTTATCTGTTTAAATTTAATGAATGGAATACTGCCCAAATTTGTGAGGCATATATTCAAAAGTATTATAAAAAGACATGTAGAATAGTTATTTCCAAGTAATAATACTTATATATACAGAAGATAAACCAAGATAAATTAACCAAAGACTGAGCCATATATTGCAATGAAACCTTACCCCATTCATCATTTGGGATTGAGGGTTTTCTACTTCTATTTCTGCTACCGAGAAACATACTACTAGGAAATTTTAAATTATTAGAGAATTAAATGAGGAAATTAAATAATATTTTTGTTCCTATGCATTCAAATTGCAATTAAATTGGCGCTTCCTTAGATACAGAGACTATAGCAAAGTAGAATATGTTTTTGGCTCTGATTTTGTACCTTGTTGGTTTTTAATACTATTAAAGATTCTGGTACTTCTTTTTATACATAACATTTCTGAAGTTCTTGTTTGTTAACTTAGTATTAGAACTAAAATTCATCTTACTATTGGTGTTTTCTTTTAAACTTTTATATTTAATACTTAATAGCATATTGCTTTATTTTCAGAGTTGACTGATGTCATTAAAGCCATTGATAAAATTAAAGATGAAAATATGGATTTGGAGGATCTGAATACTTGTCTTCAGGATTTTGGGGTTTACCTTTCTAAGCCAGAATTTGAGAAGATCATAGAGTTGACTGAAGCTGATGGTAAGTGATATATTTTTAGGAAAACAGGGCTTACACATATGAAAGACGGTTGCTTTGCTATTTTTTCTCCTCAGAATTATGACTTTATTATTTTTATTAGAAAGAAAGGTCACTAAAAGTAAACCAATACAGAAAAATTCTCAGAAGTACAGCAAAATACACAAAATCCCATTATCCAGACATAACCAGTAATAACCATATTTTCAGACATTTTTTTCCTATAGGCAAACATGAAAACAAAAAGTAGGGTTTCTGATTTTGCTTTCTGACAAGATAGAGGTCAGGACAAAGGGCACTAAATGGGACAAAGGACTCTATTATGTCAAAGCCTGCAATTCATAATGAAGGTACTAGTTTGACCCTTATAACTAGCTAACTTTGTTATAGTTATAAATAGCCAACTTTGATGAGTTTTAGCCTTATAACTTAGCAGCTACTTTTCTAAAGGGGATGATTGGTAGTCAAGTAGACAAATGGGTGGGGTTTTTAGGTAAAATGGTAATAGACATGAATTGGGAATATTTACAGCTAGGGGGAGAGTAAATGAGCTTTTATTACAATATATCTTTTACTTTGTGTATATGTAAATTTTTCCATAATAAAAATTAAAAAAAAAAGTGAAAAAGAAATAGGAGCAAACCTATGAGAAAAAAAATGGTAAGACTTAGTTAAAACATTGTATAATACCTAAATAAATGGTGATATACCCCATATTCATGGATTCAGAGACTCTAAACAGTCAGTTCTCCTAAATAATTTATTTATCCAAAGCAATTCTGTTAAAACCTTGACATTTTTTGATGACTTAATTCTAATATCTGTATGCATGAACAAAAGCCAAGAATAGCTAAAACACTCTTGAGGGGGGTAAAAAACATGTATCGAGGTGTGTGAGTAGTGTTGGAGGGAACTTTCTCTTCTGGATGTCAAAACTCATTATAAAACTATAGTAAATAAAACAGTGTGAGAATGGCACAGAGATTGAGAAATTGACAGGATAAGAAACTTACAAATATATCCCCACATGCATATGAAAACATATATAATGAGGTGGCGGATCACGGGGGGGGGGGAGAACACCATTTAATAAATGGTGCTGGGATAATTAATTATTCAAATGCAAAAAATGAAATCAGATCCCTATCTATGTATAATATTCAGTAATAATTTCCAGATGTGAACAGTAAAAGTTTTAGAAAAAGAGAAGAAAATTTTTCTGACTTACAGTTAGGAAAGATTATTTTTAAGATACAAAATCACTAACTAGAAAAGATTGGTAAGTTTGACTACTCTTAAAGACTTTTCTTTATTAAAAGATAATACAAACAGAATGAAAATACAAGCCACAAATAGAATGAAGATTACTTGTAATACTTTGAACCTCAAAAGATCATTGTGGAGAATATATTGGGAACCCCTATAAATTAACAACCCAATAGAAAAATGACTAAATTATAAGAACAGCCATTGCAAGATGAAGGAACACAAGTTGCTAATAATCATATGAAAAGACTCTCAACATCCCTAGTAATCAGGGAAATGCAAAATTTAGGTCACAGTGAAATGTCTTTTTATACCCAATAGATTGGCAAAAATTGAGAAATCTGTTCATTTAATGGTTGGTAAGTAAGACAAAAGTGATAAAGGAACTTTGAAAAACATTATGTAGTGTTTTGAATGGTTTTCATACTTCATGACTTGGAAAATCAACGTTTAGCTATAGATCTCAGAAATCTCTTGCACTGATGTACAAGGAGACATGTTTAAGAATGTTCATGGCAGCACTGATCTTAATAGCAAACAAAAAAAAGAAACAACATCATCAGTGATAGAATGGTTAAAGTTGTGCCCGTTGGTGCATAAAGAAATACTAATAGTCTGTACATTAGTGAAAACAATATACTATATAGGTGATTCCTGGAAATATAATATTGAATGAAAACAAGTCTCAGATTGCTCTAAGAATCTGATAATTTTTATCAAGTTGTAAAACAAAATTAAGGAATATTTTGTTTATCCTGTTTAAACTTATATGTAAAAAACCAAGAGATTGGTAATACTGAAAAATTCAGCAATGCTCTCTCTGTAGAGAGACAGTAGAAAGGAATTGAAAAAGCGCAGAAGCGGGTGTAGTGGTATTAATAATGTTCTTCAAATGGATGGTGGGTTCAGTGGTTCAGCTGAAACATATGTGTATCAAATAGACCTTACCAAAATAAGGGAATCTATTGCTTTAGAAAGTTCTATGTTCTGTCAGTGAATATAAATCTTCATTAACTCTAACATTCCCCCAGAATTTTTTGAAGTCGCATTTTTTTTTTAAGTCTCTAAATATTTGACTAAGAACACAAAGTGATTTGGTGCTCTTTAAAGTAAACTTTTCAATGATATTTAATCTTGAGAATAGGACAATAGGCTGTACCTTATCTTTTATAGATTAGAATTAGAATTTTTTTAAGTGGGATAAGCAAAGGTGTAGAGTTATCAAAAGTTCATTATATTTATGTAAAACCCTTAAAGTGGCCTTAGAAAATTCTTAGAAATTTTTATCCATTCCAATATTGGGAGATTATATATAATCAAGGAGAGATATTTTCTAAGTATAAAATGACTATTAAAGTGTTTAATAGTTTCAACAGTATACTGGAATAAAGATAGCAGTGTGAATGGTAGCCTGATACGGAAGAAAACAAGTCAAGAGAGCTCCCTTCTAATCTCTGATATTCTATTTCCTTTTGTGACCTGGGAAAAAAGTCATGATATCATGTATAAGTGTTTTTTCTAAAACATACTAGTTCTTCACCTACATATCTTAGTGAGTTGTTGCAAGGCCAAGGCAAGGTAATATAAGTTAAAATTAAAAATGTTGTGCACTTGTGACTAGAAAGATTTTGATTAATTTTCCTGGCAATTTTCAGCGTTTACTTTTTTCCTGTAAGTTGAATTGCTTTTCCCTCTTATAACCATATATTTTTAGTGATATTAGCTGATGGCTCTAATTATATTATCTCCCTAAATAATTTATTTTACATAATTCAATATTTGTCTTAATAATTTAATACTTGAAGATACTGAAAAAAATGTTCTTTTCCCTTTTAGAAACAAAAAAGGCGAATTTTAAGGAATTTGTTGATACAATGTTGACCAATACGGAACGCTTCTCTGAAAAATTATGTATGTAAAACAATCATTTTTTGTGCTTTTAGTGGATCAAATGGTGTGATAGATTTTAGAAGAATATAATTTACAAAAAGACATCCTACGGTTCATCAGGCAAATAAACGCCTGGCTTACTGCTGATATGTTTGGCTTTAATCTTCTCCAGTAATGATCCCTAAATCCAGAATGACTTCTATGTGCAAATGAGTTGAAAATAATCATAATCTCACACTTTTTATAGAGAGTTAGAAATGCGTATATAAAATTCATTTTGGAAAGAGTTAAATGTCTTCCCAATTTGGGGAAGTGATGCCATCTAGTGACTATAGTTGAGTACTAATATGCAGATTTTCTACTTAAAGCTGTATTTTTTTTCATCTTCTAATTTATTCAGTAACATTTCTTGAGCCACTGTTATGTATCAGACTTTATGTTAAGTTGTGAGTATGGTAAGCTGAGAAAGACATTCTTTGCCATTCAGAAGCTCATTCTAAAGAAATACAAGGTCATATATGTGTATTTTAAAAATTGGGGTTACAGGCACCTAGATGGCTCAGTCGATTAAGCATCTGACTCTTGATCTCAGCTTAGGTCTTGATCTTGGGGTCATGAGTTCAAGACCCGCATTGGGCTCCATGCTGGGTGTGGACCTTACTTTAAAAAAATGGGGTTAAAAGTAGCAATTTGTTATTTTGTGCTTATTAAGTAATACTGTATTTTAAGTAAGTTATTTACCTTATATAAATCCATTTAATTTGTTTTCTATACAAGAAAACAATAGATTAATTGGACGAAGAGATTATTTGCATTGCTAATTACTTCATTTTTCCTAGGAATTTCAGTTTCATGGAGATAAAAATTTTATTAGCACATATTCATATCTGTAGTTAAATTTCCTTTCTCATTCTTAATATTGCACATTTATGTTTATTGCTTTTCCTCTTTTCTTCATTTGATTGCTCATATCTTCATCAGACTGCTTATTGGTTTTGTATACCTCATTGGGACCTTCCATCCATTTCCCCCTCTACTTTCTCCTTTCCCATCAGTCTCTTCCTGTTCTCAATTTTCTTTCTTAACTCGGCTTAAAAAATATCTCTGGTCTGTGTGTCTCAAATACCCTAAATTCTCTTGCCCCTTTGTTATACCTAGCTGACAAAACTCCCAACCCTGCTTTCTCCTTGTGGCTGACAGCATTTCTAGAGAAAATTACACTGTTGAGCAGATCGAATAGAGTTCCACTATAAAGTCTTGATCAACACTGTCTGCTGACCCTTGACATTATCTAGGAATTATGTGATTGTTCCTCCCCAATTAGCTTATATTTTTCCACTCTCTGAAGTAACTATTTAAAATCTCCATCTCTCAAACTTCCATTCCTACCCCAGTGTCTACCCTTCTTACGTTTAGCAGATAACTTTGCCTTTATAGGAAAAATAGAAAGCCTGTCTCTATTTTGAGGACATTAAGATATTTCCAAATATATTCTTTTAAACATTTTTAAGTTTTTCTTTTTCATATTTAAGTCTTTAATTCATCTGGAATTGATTTTTAAGTATGGAGCGAAATTGGGATCCAATTTTTTTTCCATAAGGATAATTAGCTATGACAGTTTTATGTTAATTCTCTGTTTTAAATTTATGTATTAAACAAATCATTTGATTTGAAACCCAACATAGCCTTGGGATTTAGGTTATTGTTGGAGATTTATTCCCCCTATTCATGCCTCAGGCATAGAACAGCTTTCTTCTTAAATTCCTAAAAAGGTGACCAGAGTGTTTTTAGTTATAATTTTTAGCATGGAAGACTTTCCAGGCTGCTTGTTTTAAGTAGGCATCTCAGTTATAGTTCTAGATAGATCATATCTGTACCACATAACAATAATAGTTACTACTAGTACTCATATTTATTGAATGCTTACTATGTGCCAGTACTCTTCTAAATACTTTTTATTTATTAAGTCATTTGGTTTTCATATCAACTCTATTATTATTTTTTATTTTATGGTTGTGAAACCATGGCATGGAGGTTAAAAAAGTCATGTAACTAGTCTGTGGTAGAGTTAAGATTAGAACTCAAGTGAAGCTTATGCTTTTTTTTTTTTTTAAAGATTATTTATTTATTTATTTGACAGACAGATCACAAGTAGGCAGAGAGAGAGAAAGGGAAGCAGGCTTCCTGCCAAGCAGAGAGCCCAATGTGGGGCTCGATCCCAGGACCCTGGGATCATGACCTGAGCCGAAGGCAGAGGCTTTAACCCACTGAGCCACCCAGGCACCCCGAAGCTTATGCTCTTAACTTCTATATTATACCAGCTGACTGGTATGGCATCAGCATAGGCACACACATAAATCATATTTCTTCCCCGTTCCTGGTATCTGATGATTTCCCTTTCTATTGAGCTTAGCATTCAATTGTTTAGGCCCCGAAGTTAGGAGTCATTCTTGATCTTTTTTCCCTTATGTCCCTAGCTCCACCACCCTCTTCCTTCATTCAGTTTATTACCAAATATTATTTTTATTGATATTTTGACTTAGTATAGAATATGTTTTGTGTTGGAAATTGAAGGGGAATGTGGCTGTTGTTAGAATACTATATTGCCAGTTCTTTAAAAATACTCATTCAGGTTTTGACTTTGCCACTCCATAGTAGCTTTTTTTTTTTCCACAAAAGTTAAATCTCATTTTGTTAAATCTAATCGTTAATTTTTTGTTTTCATCTTCTTTACCTCCAGCAGTTTTTTTACTTCAAGTATTATTTATGTACAGTGTTGTATTAGTTTCAGGTATACAGCATAAGGATTCAACAACTATTCTTATTTTAATTTAATATGTTTACTCAAAAATTTTCTTGTGTTTTCTGTGACACTGTAATCTTCTAATTTCTCTCCCACCTTATTGGCTCTTCCTTTTTTTAAAAAAAATTGAGATTTAATTGACATGTAACATTGTGTAAATTTAGCCATACAAAGTACTGATTTGATACACTTATATATTGCAATATATCACCACCATAGTGTTAACTAACACCTTCATCACATCATGTAATTATAATTATCATTTTCTTTTTTGTGGTGAGAACACAAAGATTTAGTTAGAAACTTTCAAGTACATAATACAGTATTGTTAACTATAATCACAATGCTGTGCATTAGATCCCCAGAACTTCTTCATCTTCTAATTGTAAATTAGTACCTTTTAACTACATCTTCCCAAATTCTCCACCTGGTAACTACCATTCTACTCTTTTTAAAAAATGTAATTAATTAACTAATTAATTATTTTTGAGTGCTTTTTAGGTGTGAGACCTTACAATATTTGTTTCTCTCTGTCTGCTTCATCTTACTAAGCATATTGTCCTTAAAGTTCTTCCATATTTTCACTAATGTCAAAATTTCCTTCTTTTTTTTTTAAATTTATTTGACAGACAGAGATCACAGGTTGGCAGAGAGGCAGGCAGAGAGAGAGGAGGAAGCAGGCTCCCCGCCAAGCAGAGAGCCTGATGCGGGGCTTGATCCCAGGACCCTGAAATCATGACCCGAGCTGAAGGCAGAGGCCTAACCCACTGAGCCACCCAGGCGCCCCAAGATTTCCTTCTTTCTTAATAGCTGAGTAATATTCTATTGTAAAATTGCTCTTCTTTTTTCATCTTATTTGCTGGTTGCTTCCTTTCTAGCTTACTTTTAAATGTTAGCACGATCCCAGAATCCATTCTGAGTCCCATTCTCTAAGCCTCTTCCCAAATAATCTTACTACTTTAAATATCTCTGTCCTTTTGACTCCCCATTTATCTCATACTTAATATGTATAAAAAGGAATTCTTGCTCTCCAATAATCTTATTCTTTCCCTAGTCTCTCTTTTCTCAGTTTTTGATGCCACTATCCACCCAGTTGCTCAGTTCTCAAACCTAGGAGTTCTTCATGGACCCAGTCTGATTCACCACAAAATAATCTCAACTTTGGGGCACCTGGCTGGTTCATTTGGTAGAGCGTGTGGCACTTCATCTCTGGGTTGTAAGTTTGAGCTCCACATTGGATGTAGAGATTACTTAAAAATAAAATCTTAGGGGTGCCTGGGTGGCTCAGTCATTAAGTGTCTGCCTTCAGCTCAGGTCATGATCCCAGGGAAGCCTGCTTCTCCCTTTCCCACTTCCCTTGCTTGTGTTTCCTCTCTCACTGTGTCTCTCTGTCAAATATATAAATAAAATCTTAAAAAATAAAAATAAATAAAATCTTAAATATTCTCAGCTTCATTCTCAAAACACATCTTTTTATTTGTCTAGTTCTCATTATCTTCGTCACTATTACCCTTGTCGAAGCCACTGTCATCTTTTTCTCTGAACTACTACAGTAGCTTCCTAGCTGCCTGATCTTCCGGAGAGTCCATTCTCTATACAGCAGCAAAGTGATCTTCTACACATTTGTAATGAGATAATTTCACCACCACCCACATTAAACCTTCCATTAAATTCTATTGGAATTAAAAAAAAAACACACAAAACTTCCTCCCATGGTCTGCAATGGTAGATTGAAGAGAAAGTAAGATCCAGGGAAGATCTTTGAGGGGTGATGTAGAGCAAAAGCTATTTAGTTCATGTTTTTATCAGTTGGGCTTGTTTATGAACTCAGACTTCTATAAATCTGTATAGTTCAATGTGAACTGCACTTTATAGTGGTTACTCAGCGGTGGCATCACTATAAGTTCTTGAAATATTTCAGAATCCTCAAAGTTACACTAATTCTGATGTTAAATATTTTATTGTGTTTTAATATTTAAAAATTGTCAGGAGGACGCCTGGGTGGCTCAGTTGGTTGGGCAGCTGCCTTCGGCTCGGGTCAGGATCCCGGTGTCCTGGGATCGAGTCCCACATCGGGCTCCTTGCTCAGCAGGGAGCCTGCTTCTCCCCCTGCCTCTGCCTGTGCTCATTCTCTCTGACAAATAAATAAATAAATAAAATCTTAAAAAAAAAAAAAATTGGCAGGGGCGCCTGGCTGGTTCAGTCGATAGAACATGGGACTCTTGATCTCGGGGTTGTGAGTTCCAGGCCCACACTGGGTATAGGGATTACGTAAAAATAAAATCTTAAAAAAAAAGAAAGAAAACTGGCAATCATTTATGCTGTATTTGTTATTACTATTAACCATAAAAGCCTTAATTCCTGACTAGTCCCGATAATAGTTTACTATACTAACTTGTTAGACAAGCATGTTGTAAAACTTGTGTGTTATCTACCCTTCAGTATTGCCTGATACTCTTGAAAACCTCCACAATTTAAGCAAAGAGAAGATGAATGTTTCTCACCTGTGGAACACTCTGTCTGGGATGAATAGTAACTTGAAAATAAAAGAATTCCGAAGTGCACTGAAATTAGCAACAGTTGATGGTAAGTACTTCAAATATTAAAATTAAAAGATATCTAAGAATATGGTTCTATCTTCTATCTTTATTTTTCCTTGTATCTTGTATTTGGTTGATATGCCAATATACACATTTAGGAAATATAAAGAAAGCTCAGATTGTTTGTCCTACAGAAAAAAATGTTAGTATCTAACTTATCATTACTCTGAATTGATCAAATATGCATTGACTTACCTTCAAGTTGTGTAACATGTTACTGGAAAATGGCATATTCCAGTGAACACAGAAGAGATTGTTAGGGAATGTTAAGAGATCTGTTCTGGTTTTTTATTAACACTACTTGGGATGTCCATACAATTTGTTGAAATAGGCTTTTAATTTTTAATTTGGTAGAAAAACACAACACCTAATGGTGGCTACCACTTCTACTTAGCAAATTAGAAAAAAAAGATTAAAACAAAACAAAAAATAAGTTTGAAAAAGTACTATAAAACAAAGACCAAAGACCAAAATTTTAAAGATAAGATTATCATTTACTGCTGATGTTCTGTAGGCAGGAGTGAGAACGCAACCACAGGCAAACATTTCCACTCCCTCATAAAGTTACAAATATATTATTGTACTCTTGTATGTGGAAAGCTTATGCCAAACTAGCCTAGTAACAGAAGCATGCCTCTGGGGTCTTTGTCAAAGAACTGTCTTTCCCTGTGAGGATTAATCGCCCCTTTTTCTCCATTAAGCTCCTTTTTAGGTGATGCTGGTAATTTTGGACTTTAAGTGTGTTGATTGTTTTGTTTATTGAGATATTTGAGATGAGGAGGGTTAATCAAAATAGAAGGATATTTATGACTTGATAGTAGGGATTTCCGCCCTCTCTTTCATTGCAAAGCTTCAGTTTCCCTTGAGAGAGTGAGTGGAAGTTGAAGGCAACATGTACCAGAGAAAGTATTATATAGCATTTATTTTAATCAGACTAATAACGTATCATTTTATGAGCTATAAAAATAACTCAGCTATCTATGAAATTACTTACTGTGATAATAAAGAATAAATACTGTATCCTATTCATTATTATATACCTATAAAGCAAAAATGCAGTGTGTAAAATGTAGAACATTCTACCATCTAAATCCAAATAACGTGCATAATATTGAAAATGTTGTGTGCCCCATCTGTCATACCATTTCTTCTCTTAACATTGGAACTTCAGTACAGAGATTTAATTCTTATTTTAATGCAGTGGTGTGCAAAGTTTTGAACCTTGTATTTTTGGCTTTGTATTTATATTTGGTGCTGTTAAAGCAGTAGAATTCTTTTCTTCTAAATGAACTCTTACAGAGTACCTTAGTATATAAATCATAAAACTTGAGTTTCTCTGATTAAAGTGGGGGAAATGACCAAGTGAACTGCTTAAGTAGCTCAACAGAGACCTAGAAACATGAAGAAGAACTTAAAAATTACTGACCTGGGGCACCTGGGTGGCTCTATCATTGGACGGTTTGCCTTCGGCTCGGGTCATGGTCCCAGAGTCCTGGGATCGGGCCCACATCGGGCTCCCTGCTTGGCGGGAGGTCTGCTTCTCCCTCTCCCACTCCCCCTGCTTGTGTTCCTGCTCTCACTGGCTCTCTCTCTGTCAAATAAATAAAATCTTAAAAAAAAAAATTACTTACCAAGGATATTCTTTTTTGATCATGGTGTGTTAAAAAGGAAAAAAATGGTTTAGGTTCCCTCTACTTAGTGAGATTGAATTATTACTTCTTGGTTCTTGATGGTATTCTGTATTAACTCATTAATATTTCAAAGTACATTTGAAGTTTTTAAAAAATATTTTAAAAAATATTTTATTTGTCAGAGAAAGAGAGAGAGAGACAAACAGAGAAGAAGGGGTGGGGGGAGGCAGAGGGAGAAGCAGGCTCCAGTTGAACAAGGAGCCGGATGCAGAGCTGGATCCCGGGACCCTGGGATCATGATCAGAACTGAAGGTGGACACTTTAAGCCACCCAGGTGTCCGTAAAAAATATTTTTACGGTGGTTACAAAAAGACATTGAAAAATAGAAAAGATATTTATCATTTAGCAAATTTAGAAATACTTCCCCAATATCTCATTTTATAGCACCTGTATTCTATCCTGTGACCATAGACTATAATAATTCTAAATCCTTGTGCTAAGTTTCCCTGTTCCTGACTGGGAAAGCAAAGCCACCTCTGCCTCCTGTGTTTGTTACTTTGGCTTTCTAGTATCTGTGTGTTCTTTGTAAGAAATGAGTGTAAACATGTGTTGGAAATTATAGAACCATCTGGCATTGGAAAAATCTTTAAAGTTAATCTGGTACAGTATTTTTATCTGTAAACATTTGAAAGATTAAACTAAAATTGAGGTTTGTCTCTTAGTGTTATCTCTAGGGATACGGATTACACAGTTTCTCTTGATTGATGGATATTGAAAACTCAGCCTTTCTCCTATAATCTTAAGGTTTATTTATTCCATAAAATTGATCTTTTGGATAGTCAACAATATGAAAAGGAAATACGAGTACATCAAATGATTTACATTTTTAGAGATTGCTGCATTGGATCCTGAATTTTGCTTAGTAAGGCTGATCTACTAAAAATGTTTGAATATAATAATATAAAAATGTTTTTCTTGCAGAAGGTGATGAAGTGCAAATAGAAGAATTTGGAAAAGTGGTAAAGGATATGCGTGATGCCTCCAGGTTAAAAGGTAAGTACTAGATTATTTGTGACTGTTAAATTTACTTTTATTGCATGGATGTCTTTTTGTTTTGTTTTTTAGTGTTTCTAGTTCTGCTAATTTCTGGTTAACATGTTGGCATTGATCTGTTTTAAAGCAGGTGAAACTTGGTTTTGATTAAAAGTTGACAGCTTCCTTGATGAAAGAAAAAAGGCTTTTTCTGGAATAGAGTCTGTGTAATGCTATTTTAAATCCCTTTTTTGTGTTTGGGCTTTATATAAAGTCAGTTACTGGCTTTAAATTTTTTCAGATATGAATATTTTCTGTATAATTTTAAGCCTCAGACTTAGGATTCTACCTAGTGTATAGGCTTCTACATTATTCAATAAAATTTCTCAGGAATCTTCTACTGCTTCCTTTAGTAGACATTCCTTATGTTCCTTTTCTTGTTTTTTATTAAAACACAAGAGAGACCATGTACATTTTGGTAGCATGGGTAATTTCTACTACTTGACTTCTATTTTTGCTTAAAAATTAAAACAGAACTAAAACCAATGAAGATTATACTTGTGGAGTTTGTGTACTTTTTTGTTTAGAAAATAAGTTTTAAACTTAATGTCAAATTTATTTGAATAACCATTTAATGGTGATTAATGGTTATTAATTAATTATAAAAATTTAATGTAATTTATTTGAATAACCACTCGTGATTATTTGGTCAATAAGCATTATCAGGAAAAGAATAAAACACAGGTATTTATGTTGGAACACAATCTGTATCCCCGGCAATGTGACTGGGGTCATGTGAGATCCTGTGAGAAAACTCCAGGAGATGGAGGGCAAGAGTCTTCCTGGGCTGACGCCTGGAATAAACATGGGAGGATCCTGGGAGTACTTTCACATCCTCCTTTAGATGGATCTGATAAGTGTGGAGAATCATTAACTTGCTTTTGTTATTTAAAGCTAAGAGATAATCGTTGTTGTTGTTGTTGTCGTTGTTGTTGTAGTTGTTGGCTTGTGGCACTTGATTGCCTACAGGTAGCCCACGTCCTGCACGTAACTCACATCTCACACGCAGTTCATGTCCTGCACGTAAATCTAGATCCTGTTTGTAACTGGATCTTGTGAAAAGTATAAAAGAAACGATTGTAAGAAATAAAGTTATCTACTGATCATCCCTCGGTAGTCCCATCATTTTGGCTCCAATCACCAGGATCCCCACCTCGCGAAGGTGACAATATATTTAGGGAAACAGATGCAGAAAAATTTCTGTGTATAAAGAAGTAGACAAATCTCGGATTTTCAGTAACCACTCTGATCTGCATAGGAAATTTCTGACGTTATTGTTTCTCTTTTAGGTTAAGAAAAGTGTTTAATAAGTCCCTGTTGACATAAATATGTTACCTGGGTTACATAACATAATTAGTGTCAACAAAGTACAGTTAGCTGAGCTCTAGGAAACAATGAATAGAGGTAGAAAAGAACACAGCCCATGGGGTATGATGTATGGTGGTTTGTGGTTTTTTGACTTACCAGCTGGGTAATCTCTGTAGGCCATTCTGATTTCCTCACCTTTAAAACAGGGGAGCTAATGAAATCCTGTTTGTCATAGAATTGTCAGGTTCAAGAGCAAAAACACATGTAAAGCATATGTATAACCCAATTGTTAGGCACATATTATATACTTGTTAAATGGTAGTTAATTTTGAAATCAGACAGCAGAGCTCAGAAGGAGACTCGTATTCAGGACAGTGAATGAGGAGGAAGGAAAAATTTTTGAAATTAAGCCATTGGAAAAGAAGAACAGATACAGTTTAAGTACCTGAATCTGGGAAATGGTCACAATCGTTAGGGGAATGGCACTGGAATCTGTCAGATAGTGCAGTGTAAGGCCAATAACTACAGGGAAGAGTTAGGAAGCACCCCCTAGAATACCAGTGTTAACGTAGCAGGCCTGAAGCTGCCCTCTTTAGAAAAACCTGCTTGCAAGGTTGACTGGCTGACACATGAGAACTTGGCTTTCAGAATGTTCACTTCATTAATAATGGATAAGGTTAGTTCATTGTGCCTAGACTATTTGTTGGCAAACTTGGAGAGACCTTAAAAATGGGCATATTGTGAATACAGTTCTATGCTTTCCTTCAACATACCGCATAATTATAAAGGATTATGGTGAGGTGTCTGATCTTTTACTTTAAGATTTTAGTGGTGGGGCAGCCAATTCTAGGTAATGATGAAGATTAAGTATAGCCGTTGGTTTGGATGACTTTGGAAGGTAAGTGAAGACTTTTTGAACTTAAGAGGTCAAGGTCATCCTTATTGTCATCAGATGACAACGGAAAATGGGGTTGAGGAAGGATTATGAGCAAGGTGCCAAGATCCTCAGAGATGGTGAAAGTGTGCTCAGACAGTAGTAGATGATGGTGTCAGGAGGGTGGTGTAGGTGAATGATAGGCCTGAACCTCAGACGAAGGGCTAAGGTTTGACTGAAGGTGGAACCAAAGTAGCCTGACAGCAGCAGCAGAAATTTAGGGGTGCTTCTCTGCTTCCTGGCCCTATGGGAGCTTGGGACGATGAGCAGCCCCCACCCAAGATGGTTGTGCAAGGAAACCATATTTTAAAGGAAACCAAGTATTAGTGAAAACGAAGAAGCAGAACTGATGCAGGTTTTTAGGTGCCGGCAAAGCTCAGATTGCCATTTTCAGTTGCCTCCCCATGATGTTAGGACAGAAAGTGAGGCAGGTTCAAAGGTGCTAAGGAGCTGTGATTACTATTTATAGCTAGTTCCTGATTAGTAATAGTAGTAGTAATAGTAATAGTAGTAGTAGTAGTAGTAGTAGTTATTTTATTGCTATTAATATGACGTTTATTAAGTACTTGCCATATATCTAGAATTGTTTTGTTTTTTATACATCATCATATTTAATCTCCACATTAACCTTGTGAGGTAATAGTATTACTATCTCATTTTAGATATAAGACTACTGAGTTTTATAGAGGGGTTAAGTAGTAATAATTTGATCAAGGTCACACAGTTCCAGGTGACAGATCCTGGAGCCAGGATATGAATGCAAGTCTATCTGACTTAACACTGCCTCCTTTGAAAGGGTTGGAAATGAAACAATTCCAGAAGCCAGGGTATAACTGCATCGTGATAGAATTGGGGGAAAAAAAAAACTAATGAGTCCTTGTGATACTTGTGTTTCATATTTTGCATTTTTCATGATTCTGAAATTCATTTCACTTCATTCAGAATGAGTTAATTTTGTTGGCTACCATTAGAGCTTCATGGTAAAATAACTACTTTATGTAATTGCAGTGAAATATTCAACTATATGAATAATTTTGGTTGTGCCAATTTTATGTTAGCGCCAAAGAAACATGATGGACCAAGTGCATTGTGTTGCTGGACTTAGAATTCCCTGAGGCCTGGGTTCTTCACTGAGATTTCTTATTCTTCAATTCAGGATGTTATAATAAATCTCAGACTGCCACTGATAAAAGTCTTTAGTGATAGCTACCATTGTTTTTTAAATCAGAGGTTAGTTCATTTACCAAATAACTTTTTTCTATTTCTAGAGTTACAGAACATTGTCTTAGCCCTTGATGCACTTGAAGGTGACATGATACCTGGGAAGAACTTGGAGAGCTTTCTAGGAAATATTGGGATTAAGTCACCTGAAGAGGAGGTAGAGAAAATTCTTCAATCAGATTTTGTTTCTGGTAAGCATTTAAATATTACTATCAGTTTTTTTGTTTGTTTGTTTTGGATAGGAGACCCTGTAATGAAAGTGTGCAAGGTCTTTGTTTAGGTAAATGGCGTTCCTTTGTTGAGCAAATATCTATAGGTAGTTGCTTGTATTCCTGTAAAGGTCTTGAAAGGGAGCCTTTCTTCTTTCACATTCCTCTTTTGCAGTTAGGAGAATACTTTTTAACAGCAGGTCAAAAATTTGTGGGAAGTGGGCTTGGAAATTCCAGTTCTTTGAATAGAAAACCTAGCTTTGCCACTTTGCGCCAAGTAAAGTTATTGGACTTATAACTTTCTTGGTATTTTAGTTCCCTTACAGGTAGAATCAGAACTAGTGTATCTACAGCCTTGTAAGGTTAATTGCAAAGCATAATAGGTGAAAATGAATCCAAACTATCTTGTATGCTGATTCTTATTTTTATACTAGCTTTTTAATATTACTTTGTCCAGGGTTTCTTGTTTATCACCTCTCTCTTTCTTTCTTCCAGATGACAACATGGTGAATGTTAAAGACTGTATGAAGGTTTTGAAGGACAACCAGAAATTTTCCAATTTTATTGGTAAGAGCTTTATGGTAAAACTGCTGAATGGCCACAACACAGGACTCATTTAAAGGTCACCTAGTCAAACACTATATTTGTTGCTTAAATCTTCTATGTAGTAGTATCTGTGCCAAATGTTTGTTTCATTAATATTTGAACATTTGCACTTATGGCAAACTTTACTACAATTTTTTTTCATTTAAGAATTTTTATTTGAGGGGCACCTGGGTGGCTCAGTCTGTTAAGCATCAACTCTTAATCTGGCTCAGGTTGGAATCTCAGGGCCCCTGAGATTCCCGCCCCACATGGGATCAAGCACATGTATCTCTCTTTCTCTAAATAAATAAATAAAATCTTTTTTAAAAAAATAATTTTTACTTTAGTGGAAAGGATTGGGAAAATCATGAGGTTGTAATGTTTTCCAATAGCTAAATAAAAAAACTTTATTATATAATAATGGCAATTTCTAAACTGTTATAAAAAAATATAGTGACCAGAAGGGTAAGAAATATAAAGCATAAGGCTCTTGTAATGTCACCCTCTGAAAATATCCCTGTTGAAGTTTGGTAAGTATCCTTTTAGGCTTTTTTACTTACATCTGTGAGTATTTGTATGTTCTTAAATTGTTATTTAAAAATTAAATTACTGTGTTCATAATATTCCACAACTTGCTTTTGTAAAGAAATTAATAGCATATCTTAGATATTATTCCATGTTCCATTATATCATATAAACTACCTCATTCTTTTTAAGGACTGCATAATATTCCATTACGGGGATGGACTATAATTTTATCCACAACACTCTTCTTTTTTTAAAGATTATTTATTTATTTGACAGAGAGAGAGAGAGAGAGAGAGATCACAAGTAGGCAGAGAGGCAGGCAGAGAGAGAGGAGGAAGCAGGTTCCCCGCTGAGCAGAGAGCTGATGTGGGGCTCGATCCCAGGACCCTGAGATCATGACTTGAGCTAAAGGCAGAGGCTTAACCCACTGAACCACCCAGGCGCCCCATATACTCTTGATGATATTTAGGTTATTGCCAATTTTTAGCCATTCAAACATTTTGATGGTCATCCTTGAATGTATATATGTGCACAAAGTTTTCCTGGTGGATAAATTCCTCAGCAGTCACAGTGCTAGACTGAAATCTATGCAGATGTAAGATGTTAATAGCTATTGCTTATTTATCCTCCCAAAGGGTTGTAAAAATTTACTTGTATCAATAATGGGTATTAGTTATTAAAAAATTTTCCAGTAAAAAAATTTATTATTATTTTAATATGCACTTCTTTAATGACTAGTGAGGTAAAACATATTTTTCATGATTGTCAAGTGTGCTTTGATTATATTTTAATTAGATTGTCTTTTTCATATGAATTTGAATTTGTAAATAGGTCTTTCTATATTAGGGACATTAACATTCTGTCCTATTGAAGTTTTTTCCTAGTTTATTATTCATCTTTGATTTTGGTGGGTTGCTTTTTGCCATCTTTGGTGTAATTTTGTCAGTGTTGGTATTTTTTTTCTCCTAGGAAATTTATTTTATTTGGGTGTTTTATTGGAATACAGCCCTATGCAGTGATAATTCTTTTGATTTTTTTTGAATCTGGTTATTTTCTCATTCTTAAATTTGCATATATATAACCTTAACTTTTTCTATGTTTACTAACAGAACATTTTAGCTCTCTTTTTAAAGCACTACCTCTTAAATTTATCTTTAGTGTTTCTGTTCATAGTTAAAAAATTAATTTCTGCTTTTAAGTCCTTTTTATTCTCTTATGCCCATTTTATAGCTTTTCTAAGTTATTTAAATTATTAATTTATACTTTTTTCTTACTGGACATTAAATGTTTAAGACTATCATTTTCATTTTAGTAAAACTTTGGTTTATCTAACAGTCTTCGTTTATTATTGTTGTTATTGTCTAAGTATTTTCAGTCATATTTTGATTTTCTCCTCGATGTAAGAGTTGTTTAAGAGAAAACTTAAAATTTTAAAGCAATTTGAATTTCATTATTGCCCTATCTTTGTTATTTATTTTTTTAGTTTTATTGTGGTCAGAGACTATGGTCTATAGTAGAGGCCTTGATAGCTTGTTAGATTTGGAGTTTCTTCAATTATTATATGTTATTTAAAAACTACATTAATGGCTTCCAGGGACAGGCTAATGGTAATGCACACTCATCCTACTATTTGTCTTGGAAATCCTTATGACCTTTTGAAGCAGCCCATTCCATAATTTTGGACAGCTGTGGAACTAGTCAATTATTCCACATATTTGGTAGAAATCCTGCCTTATAATTCCATTCCCAAACCATATTTAACATTTGGACTCTTCCTCCTATCAGTAGCCCTCCAGAGATGTGAAGAGAACTCTTATATTTTCTTCATTTCACATCGAATCGTCTTTTCTCTAGACTCACATTTCCCTTCAGCCCTTACTCATGTGGCCTATTTTTGAAACGTTTTACCAATAACTAATGACTAAATCATGGAACAACAGAAAGAGTTAAATACTACTTCTACATAAACTGGCTAGTTTAAAGTAATTTATTATACATTTCTCTTAATGAATCCTAAGAGATGATTTTTTGGATATATACTTTAGAAATGAAGGTTTTTAAAAAAATGTTTTATTTATTTATTCATTTATTTATTTGAGAGAGAGAGAGAGAGAGAGAGAGAGCAAACCCGTGAGAGAGAGAGAGAGCCAGTGTGGGGAGGAGCAGAGGGAGAGAGAATCCCAAGCAGACTCCATGCTGAGTTTGGAGCCCAGCAGGAGCTCTGTCCCAAGACCCTGAGATCATGACCTGAGCTGAAATCAAAAGTCAGATGCCCAGTCGACTGAGCCACCCAGGTGCCCCTGAAGTTTTGTTTTGCTTTTTAATTAAGGGAGGTCAGCCATGGATTTCCTAATCTAGATGTTTTATGTTAATGTGCTATCCATAATAGGCTTTGCTGATCCTCTAAATTGTGTGAAATGAGGTGATAAGATTAAAAGATGTAGGGAAGGAAAGTGGAAAGGGAAAGATTGGGGTTTGAGAGCACTTGTGAAGAATGGAGGGTATTTCTTACTGAAATGGTGAGCTCAATATTGATAACTAGAGAAACTCTGGTGTACTTTTCTCTTCATATAGGAATAGCCCATCCAGAACCTAGAGTTTTAACAAAATAATTTTAAGAATAAAGATGAGGGGCTATAGAAAACTATAGTGGGGAATGGATTGCTCTATTTATTTCAATGGCCACATATGAGTAGTGGCTGCCATTTTGGACAGCGCAAATCTCAAAGAGTCCATCAATTTCATTGTTATATTCCAAAGATTTGGAACCATGGACTGAAGTACATGTTGTGTGTATATTTTCTGTGTTTGTAGCATTGAATGATATCATCAATACATTGGATTCTATGGAAGAAAGTGATCAGTTTGATAAGGACAAATATGCAGATGTACCTGGAAATATCAATAGAATTCATTTCACTGATAATAGTCTTCAAAAAATACTAGATGAGTCCATTGTTGAGGGTGAGTTGATGGAGCAACTTGTAATAAAAATTTCTTCTAAAATTTTATCTAAGGATTTTTAAATATTTTACCAAAATACTAGTTAAATGGTAATAATTAGTTCCTAATGATATTTAGTTAATATTATAATATTTAGTTCCTAAATAATACCATAAATGTATTGAAATGTGATTTACTGCAGACCAAATTTAGGGATATACCTTATATTCTATATCCACAGATATGTCCATTTAGTTATTACAGTATCAAATTCCTGGATGATCTCTTGGACTAGATTGTAAAGTTGGCCTCAAGTATTTATATATGTTGTTGTATGGCTTTGAAATATTTCTTTCTAGAGTAATTTCATTTCAAAGTTAATCCCTTTCCTTCTATGAACTTTAGAGAGGTCTTAATCATTTTCTAGATTTTTGGTTTTTTTTTTAGGTGAAAGGCCCTTTGAAAAGTACAAGTTATTGTTGAACAATTAAAACATTTTTCTATATAACACTCATATGTAAGTGTTGAGCTGCTCTTTGCTCTATCTACAAAGAATTTACCTGACCCATCTATATTCTCAGCTGGGATATATCCAGATGGACTTTATCCATATTTGGAAAGCCATTTCTTGCCTTTAAATTTAGCTTCAGCTAAAAAATAAGGTCAGATCTGCCTCTCAGGGAACAATTGGCAGTGTGTGAAGACAGTTTAGATTGTCAAAACTGATGGGTGGAGGACTGCTGGCATGTAGTGAGTAGAAGCAAGGGACGCTGCTAGCCATCCTACAGTGTCTAGGACGGTATTCCCCCAAATAATTATCAGGACCCAGATGCAATTTTGCTGAGGTTGAGAAATCCTGTTTTAGAATTATCTTATAAAATTGCCAAACCTACTATTTTGAAAGTACTTTTTAATAGCTTAGTTGTTTTTTTTTTTTTTTTTTAAATCTTGCTTAGAACAAGTAAAAAAATTAAGGTAAATATAATGTGTTTTTATTCTAACTTCCTTTTGTTTTAAGGTAATATCTGGACTAGTTGTGAGTTATTCTAAACATCTCTCCAACTGTAATATGGTCCATCTATGCAAATGGACATATTTTATTTTTATCACTTGTCCTTCAAATAGATCTCTGTAGCAATTTGCATTTTTGTAGAAAGTATATTGAATGAGGGGTATAACTGCAACTTGTCCTTAGGAGAAGCTCCAGGATTAGATAGATAGGTAAGCAAGCAGAACTAGAGAAGGACAATTCAGACTAATAATTAAACATTTTATCAAATATATGGGCCTGGAGATGAACCTGCCCTCTTTGGAAGAAAGGAGAAACATTTATGACGTTAGAATCTCAGTCACTTTTAAGGAGCTTGGTGGAGGTTGACAAATCCATGGACTCAAAGAAGTAAGAGGAAGATGAATAGAAAAAATATTTTGGAAGCCAGTGGATGATTTTGAGAGGAAGAGAATGGTCAATGGGAAATGTTACTGAGAGATGAAGTATTTAGTCTAGGCTTTCTTTCAAACTGGATAAAATCAGGATGCTGTTCCTTATGGCATAATCTCTCTCTGTAAATTTGCAGATTTTAAGAAAGAGGCTTTGTCTTCAAATCTGAGATTACCAAAAGCAGATGGTAGGAACTTTATATGTGTATAAGAAAACATTCCCTATAAAAGAGTTACTCTTTAGGAATCATTGCCAGCTGCCAATGGATTCCTAGTCCATTTTTCCCACTCCAGCCAGAGTAATATTTTTTTTCAAAAAAGTAATCTGATTATGTTATATCTCCCTATTTATAACTCTTTAAACATTTTCCCTTGCTGTTAAAGATCAAAATCCATCCTATATGTCCTAGTCCTCTAACAATCTTGTACCATTATCCTTGTTTTCTATACTTTCAAATACATTGCCTTTCATTTTCTTAGATCTCTCTTTTCCTCCCACCACAAAGCTTTGCATATTTTATTCCCTGGAATATTTTTCCCTGACCCTCTTTGCCTATTCAAGTTTACTCATCTTTCAGATGCAGGTCAGATTCCTCTAGGGGAGCCAATCATTATCTGCTAGTCTAGGTCAACTTCCTCTGTTAATATGCTTTCCTTAAACCATGTCTCATTCATAGCATTTGTTTCATATTAAAAGTACTCATTCATATTTTTAAAATGATACTAGAAATGCTCAGTATATTTTCATTATGAAGTAAGAAAAATTAAGGGCATCTGCCTGGCTCAGTCAGTAGAGGATATGACTCTTAATCTCAGGGTTAGGAATATAAGACCCATATTGAGTATAGAGCTTACTTAGAAAAAAATAAAGTAACAAAAATATTAAATAACTTAAATCATCTTAATTCATTAGGATCAAAATAATACAATTTTTAATGAAAAATTCTTTGAGTATAGTGAACATACAATGTTAATTTGCTTCACGTGTACAACATAGTAATTCAGCTTCTCTATACATTATGCCATGCTCACCACAAATGTAACTACCATCAGTCACCATACAACGTGATTATAATATTATTGACTATATTCCCTACACTGTGTCATGACATATTCATTACATAACTGGAAGCCTGTCTCTCCCATTCCCCTTCACCCATTTTGCCCATCCTCCTACCAACCTTCTCTCTGGACACCCATCAGTGTGTTCTCTATTTATAGGTCTGATTCTGCCTTTTTTTTTTTTTTTTAAGATTTTATTTATTTATTTGACAGAGAGAGAGAGCACAAGCAAGGGAAACAGTAGAGGGAGAGGGAGGGAGCTCAATCCCAACACCCTGGGATCATGACCTGAGCTGAAGGCAGACACTTAACCAACTGAATCCCTCGGGCGCCCTCTGATTCTACTTTTTGTTTTTTTATTTGTTTTGTTTTTTAGAATCGACTTATGAGTACAATTACATGGTATTTGTTTTTCTCAGTCTGACATATTTCCTTAGCACAATACCCTTTAGGTCCATCCATGTTGGCAAAATGGCAAAAAAAAAAAAAAAAAAAAAAAAAAAATCTCATCCTTTTCTATGGCTGTGTCATATTCCATAAATATACCACATCTTATTCATTTACCTACTGATGGACACTTGAGATACTTTCCTATCTTGGCTTTTGTAAGTAATACTGCAATACACATAGAAGTGCATATATCTTTTTGAATTAGTGTTTTTGTCTTCTTTGGGTAAATACCCAGTGGTGAAATTATTGGGTCATATGGTATTACTATTTTTAATTTTTTGAGGAATCTCCATATTATTTTCCTTAGTGGCTGTACCAATTTACATTCCACCAACAGTACACAAGGGCTCCTTTTTCCCCACATCCCCGCCAACACCTGTTATTTCTTATGTTTTTGATTCTAGCCATTCTGACAGGTGTAAGGTGATAGGCACCTCATTGTGATTTTGATTTGCATTCCCCTAGATTAGTGATGTTGAATATCTTTTCTAGTGTCTGTTGGCTATTTGTAATGTTTTCTTCAGAGTCCTCTGCCCATGTTAAAATCTGACTGTTTTCCAGTCATCGTTTTAATTATTTGATTAATGATTCTTTCTCTTACATGCCTGGAAGAGTCATTGGACCAAGGACCACGTCTCTACTTTGCTCCATATCCTAGTATTGTTTCTCTAGATCCTGGCACAATCCTGGCTTTCAGCAGGCTTTTAGAAGTAGCTACTATTAATAATTAATATTATATGGGGAGCCTGGGTGGCTCAGTGGGTTAAAGCCTCTGCCTTCGGCTCAGGTCATGATCCCAGGGTCCTGGGATTGAGCCCCACATTGGGCTCTCTGCTCAGCAGGGAGCCTGCTTCCCCCTCTCTGCCTGCTTCTCTGCCTACTTGTGATTTCTCTCCCTCTGTCAAATAAATAAAGTCTTAAAAAATAATTAATATTATACAGTATTTACTATGCTAGGTATTTTTCTAAATCTTTTATGTTATCAACTCATATAATTATAAATATTTATGGAATGAATCAATGACAATAAAACTTTATTATCTCGTTAGTCTCATCTCTCATCACTTCTGCATTTGTATTTATTCTGTAGCCATAGTACTTATTACAATTTAAACTGGCTCTATTTGCTTTTGGTTCCATATCTTTGTATGTGTTGTTTCCTTTCTATACATTTCCTGTCAGACAAACTCACATTTTTTTTCCCCTAAACTCATCTCAAATGTCACATAAGACTTTTCAGAGTTGTAGGTTAGGTGAACTGTCTCAGTGCTTTCATAATATCCTGTGCATATTTTTCTCATCATACCAACTGTATGATGTATTATCATTTTATTTATAGACATGACAGATTCAGTCTTTGTTTTCTGGGAATTCACAGGAAACTTTTTTACGGGAAAACTCTTTGATGAAAGGGCTGAAATTTTCATTATTGGGCTCGGTAGCTGCAAAAAAATTATTAGTAGAATAAATAAAAGTCTTAAATGGTATTATGTTTTCTTTCCAGGTGAAGGTTTAGATCTGTTGGTATAACACAATAATTTTCAGACTGTGGAAACATGCACAATGACTTCATTTTGGAATTAAGAGAGTGGGAAATGGTATTGATGAAAAATTGAAACACCCAATAATGATATGTTTTATATTTTAAATTGGTGTGGTATCAACAGGACTACTCCATGGTTGTATGGGTTTTGCCTTGCACAAAGATGCCTGGATGTAGGGTACAAGCAGAGACTGAAATGCACTCCATATTTCACTGCGCTCTTCAGACTTGGACCACCAGGGCTAGATTTCAGCTGCCCAGAGGAAGGTGTGCCTCTTTGTAATAGATACATACAAAGGGGACCCTTTCTCAGTCACACAAAAGCATAATATAGACTGGTGGTGGCCCTGGGGATCAAGAGCTTTAATCTCAAATTTCATCCTTTTTTTTGTTTACTTTATCAGTTGATAGAAATCTTTATATTTACATGTAAAGGATTTAACTATTATTTAAGAAAAGCTTACAGCTCATTCAGTATTTAGTGGGTTAATGGATTCAGATAACTCATATTCTCTTTGGCATGTAATTTTTTGGTTTTAAATGCTGCTTGATATAAGTGGGTTGTTGGAAAATATTTTGCTTTTTTTTTTTAGTTAAATATATAAGCTTAATTCGAGAATTCACCTCTAATGGACTTTGGACAAACTATTTTGCACTTTTTAAAACATAGTATCTTACATATATTTATTTATCTTTGTAGAGATTGAAGAAGCTACTCATATCTTGTCAAGTGTTGATAATGGCAAGATTGATATACTTAGCTTGGAGCATGCCCTGGAAAGTTTGAATGTCAGTTTGACTGAGGAGGACATCAGTGAAGCCCTCCAGTGTTGCGACATCAATGGTAAGGATTATTTTGGCGTGAGGTCCTTTTCATTTTTCCCTGTTAATAAGAAACAGTCTTAGAGCATATATATGTGGGTAAAATGCTAAGGACAGTCACACTGGAGACTTAGGTTGATACAAATTAGAGCCAAAATAGTCTGCTAATTTAAATATTTATTGACCATATCTTTCTATTCACACTTAATCTAGGTATATATGCTTATTTAGTAATTACTATTCATTTCTTATAAGCATGGGTGGGAAAATTCCATTGTGATAAAACAAAGACATGATACCAGCAGCTTCATTTTGATATGCAGTCTTTCTTCAGAGGAGATCACCTTCATCTGTCCTTCTATATAGTACTTGCCTCATTCTGTTTTTTAACCAAAAGAAATACCCCAAATTTCACTACATTTTAGAAGAACAGTTACTGAGTTTTGGTCGTTTCTAAGTGAGCATATATTTATCTGTGGTTTCCATTTTTAACTTCTTGTAGTATATACTTGGTCTCCTTTCCTATATATATTCACTCTTAAGCGTCAAATCATGTGGGAACACTTTAATTTGGAGCTGGTAAGTTACACTGGTTTTAGGTGGCTTTTTATTTGGGGTTTATCTTAACCAGCTTGTTTTTTCTATGGGAATCTGATGAGTGTGGGTTTAAGAGTACCTCCTGAGCACGGTTTGGTTATTGCCTTTGCCAGGTACTCTAGATTTTTATTGACCTCAATCAATTTATATGTTTTGACCTGGGGTTTCTCATACCATGAGAGCAGTATCAATTTAGACTCCGAACCCACATGAGATGCAGGAGATCCTTCACAGGAGATTTTTTCCCCACTGCCTCTCAGAATTAGGAAGATTTACATCTCCTTGTTGTTTACTTGGGCCAGTGAATACAGTGTTTTAATCTCCCTTTCACTGGATTGAGCTTCTTTAAGCATCCAAGGTTTTTTTTTAATTTTTAAAAATTTTTTATAAACATATAATGTATTATTAGCCCCAGGAGTACAGGTCTGTGAATTGCCAGGTTTACACACTTCACAGCACTCACCATAGCACATACCCTCCCCAATGTCCATAACCCCACCACCCTCTCCCTACCGCCCTCCCCCCGGTCCCCCTCAGTTTGTTTTGTGAGATTAAGAGTCTCTTATGGTTTGTCTCCCTCCCAATCCCATCTTGTTTCATTTATTCTTTTCCTACTCCCCAAACCCCCCACATTGCATCTCCACTTCCTCATATCAGGGAGATTCTATGATAGTTGTCTTTCTCCATCTAGTTCCATCCATGTCGTCGCAAATGGCAAGATTTCATTTCTTTTGATGGCTGCATAGTTTTCCATTGTATATATATATATATATACCACATCTTCTTTATCCATTCATCTGTTGATGGACATCTAGGTTTTTTCCATAGTTTGGCTATTGTGGACATTGCTGCTATAAACATTCGGGTGCATGTGCCCCTTCGGATCACTACGTTTGTATCTTTAGGGTAAATACCCAGTAGTGCAATTGCTGGGTCATAGGGTAGCTCTATTTTCAACTTTTTGAGGAACCTCCATGCTGTTTTCCAGAGTGGTTGCACCAGCTTGCATTCCCACCAACAGTGTAGGAGGGTTCCCCTTTCTCCACATCTTCGCCAGCATCTGTCATTTCCTGACTTGTTAATTTTAGCCATTCTGACTGGTGTGAGCTGGTATCTCATTGTGGTTTTGATTTGTATTTCCCTGATGCCGAGTGATGTGCAGCACTTTTTCATGTGTCTGTTGGCCATCTGGATGTCTTCTTTGCAGAAATGTCTGTTCATGTCCTCTGCCCATTTCTTGATGGGATTATTTGTTCTTTGGGTGTTGAGTTTGCTAAGTTCTTTATAGATTTTGGACACTAGCCCCTTATCTGATATGTCATTTGCAAATATCTTCTCCCATTCTGTCAGTTGTCTTTTGGTTTTGTTAACGGTGTTCTTTGCTGTGCAAAAGCTTTTGATCTTGATGAAGTCCCAATAGTTCATTTTTGCCCTTGCTTCCCTTAACTTTGGCAATGTTCCTAGGAAGAAGTTGCTGCAGTTGAGGTCGAAGAGGTTGCTGCCTGTGTTCTCCTCAAGGATTTTGATGGATTCCTTTCTCACATTGAGGTCCTTCATCCATTTTGAGTCTATTTTCGTGTGTGGTGTAAGGAAATGGTCCAATTTCATTTTTCTGCATGTGGCTGTCCAATTTTCCCAACACCATTTATTGAAGAGGCTGTCTTTTTTCCATTGGACATTCTTTCCTGCTTTGTCGAAGATTAGTTGACCATAGAGTTGAGGGTCTATTTCTGGGCTCTCTATTCTGTTCCATTGATCTATGTGTCTGTTTTTGTGCCAGTACCGTACTGTCTTGATGATGACAGCTTTGTAATAGAGCTTGAAGTCCAGAATTGTGATGCCACCAACTTTGGCTTTCTTTTTCAATATTCCTTTGGCTATTCGAGGTCTTTTCTGGTTCCATATAAATTTTAGGATTATTTGTTCCATTTCTTTGAAAAAAATAGATGGGATTTTGATAGGGTTTTAAGCATTCAAGTTTTATTTGGTATCTAAATTCAAACTCTCCAAGTAGCATGGACCCAAATTTTCTTTTATGAATATGCATGAATATTTAAATCAAGCACCTTGCCACTTTGGGATCTGATACGTATCCCCAAATAGTTATAGGCTCAGTACTCACTGTTTTCTACTTTTGATCTCTGTGTCCACTTAACTTAATATTTCCTGTTCATATATCTTAGTAATGCATTTATAGAATATTGTAGTTCATACAGCATCCTAGGGATTTGTAGTCTGATGGTTTCTGTGCTACCCAGCTAGCCATTTTGTTATAAGTTAAAGTCTCCTTAATGTAGTTGATAACTCTATATTTTCTGTTATGATAGCATTATTGCGTTTTTCTTCGTGTGTGTGTGTGCGCGTGCGCATGCACACGCGCGCGCATGTGTGTGTGTGTATCCTAATAGTTAACTTTGTGACCTCTGGCCTGAGACTACCTTAGTTCAAATACCACATCCTCTAGCACTTTCTGGCTTTTGTGACCTAGACAACTTATTTAATTTCTCTTGGCTTTCATCTTTTAAAGACAGGCATATCAAGTATAACCATGTTATAGAATTATTGTGAAGATTTTGGTTAATAAATGTAAAGCATCATAAAAGGATCCTTAGTCTGTATAAGGAACTGAACATTATGTAAGTTCTTTTTTCTCTCTTTTTTAATTATGTTCAATTAGCCAACATATAGAACTCAAGAAAATTAGCTATTAAGATCATTAACTGTTCAATAGATGGTTCCTAAAAGTATGAAAAGTTATTTTGCAATAGTTTCAGTCATTTGAGATAGAAAATAAGGTAGAACGGAATTTTAAGTATTGTAAATCAGAACCTTTATGTAGAAATTCACAGTATCGGGTTTTTAATGTCAGCATGCTTGATTTTGACTTTACAGATAATAATGAAGTGAATTTAAAAGATTTCTTTGAAAGAATTAAAGAAAGTCCATCTTTCAAAGAGTCCATAGGTAAGTGAATACTACTAGTTCAAAGACAAATGACTGTAAAATAAAGATATGAAATGATATTAAAAAATCAATATCCAGATTTCATGTTTTTACTCTGTAATCTCTATAGTTTTAAAAAGGATTTAAGGCACTTATAAAATATAAATAATATAAGAATGTAAAAGACAAGTGAGGAAAATGGGAAAAAGTTATAATGGAGGGAAAAGAAATAAAACAGGGTTGAAGAAGATACATAGGAAACACCTTTGCTGTTCTTACAAAGTCCTTCCTCAAGAGGAGATAAGTTTTTCTTCATTCAAGGGGTACTGGATCTATGAAGGAAATCTGGTCTGGAAATCAGGGGAGGCATCACTACTGTCTGTTGTGCCATCTCAGGTTAGGCCTCTGCAGTTTTCAGGTCTCCTCAGCTGGATTGCCCATCTATTTTATTTACGGAAATCTTCAACTAATCAGTTTCTCTAAATCTTCATGGTATTGATCCACATATCATTCTTATTGCCATATCATCTCTGTTGCCTAACTACATCACGTTGCCCCTCCTGTGTAAAGACTATCGCTTCGTCTTTGTCCCTGAAGTTCATTTCATCCTTCTTGAAATTAGGGAGGTATTGAAATTTCAATACTGGCATCATTTCCTAACCCCACATCTACAGGGGACACCTACCGGAGAAATCTCCACAGATGCAGACACCCCTGTCAACAATGTATTCCTAAATGCTTTGGTGAAACAAATGTCCTTTCTTTTTTTTTTTTTTTTAAAGATTTTATTTATTTATTTGACAGACAGAGATCACAAGTAGGCAGAGAGGCAGGCAGAGAGAGACGAGAGATGGGGAAGCAGGCTCCCCGCTAAGCAGAGAGCCCGAATGTGGGGCTCGATCCCAGGACCCTGGGATCATGACCTGAGCCGAAGGCAGAGGCTTTAACCCACTGAGCTACCCAGGTACCCCCAAATTTCCTTTCTTTTTCACATTTTAATATCTCTAAAATTAGAACACCTTTATAATTGATGGCATTATTTATCGCATTTACATTTTTATTGAGATATAATTCACATACCATCAAATCCATCCTTTTAAAGTGTACAGTTTAGTGGGTTTTGGTGTATTCACAAAGTTGTGCAACCATCATGCTCTAATTCTGGGACATTTTCATTGCCTCAAAAAGAAACCCTGTACCCTTTAATAGTTATTAACATCTTTACATGTGTTTATTGGCCATTTGTATATCTTCTTTGGAGATGTGTATCCTTTGCTTATTTTAAAATTGGGTTATTTGTCAAGTTATAAGAGTTCATATATTCTGGACTATACACCTTTATCAGATACGTGATTTGCAAATCTTTTCTCCCATTTCATGGGTCTTTTTCCTTTCTTGTTGGTGTCCTTTGAAGCACAGAGATTTTTAAGTTGGATGGAATCCAATTTATATTTTCTTTTGTCACTTCTTTTGATGTCACATCTAAAGATAATCCAAGATCATAAAGATTTATATTGATGTTTTCTTTTAAGAGTTTTCTAGTTTTAGCCTTTTAATTTGAATCTTTGATTTGAGTTAATGTTTGCACATGGAGTGAGATGGGAGTCCATGTTAATTCTTTTGCATGCAGGTATCCAGTTATCCCGGCATCATTTGTTGACAAAGTTATTCTTTCCCCATTAAAGGGTTTTGGCATTCTTCCCAAAAATCAATTGATCATAAGTGTACGGATTTATTTCTCAACTCTCAATTCCATTCCATTGATTTTCATTTATTCTTATGCCAGAACCACATGGTCTTGATTACTATAGCTTTGTGGTAAAGTGATAACCTAGGCAGGAATCTTTAACCAGAGCCGGGCATCAGAATTACATGTAAGTTTGATCCACCTGGTTCTAGTTTTGGGCTATGATGGAGTAGCTTATATCAAACCAACCTTCCTACTGAGAGTAACTAGTAAAATCTGGACTAAACTAAACTGCATTAACGACCACAACCATTTGAAGGCATTGGAAAGCAGCCAAAGCTGTCAGGATTTGTGGGGCTGTAAGATAAATACAGAGAGCGGGACTTGTAGCAGCAATAGCAGCTGTTGCTGCTGCTTGTCTGTTTTGTCTTTGTAACATAACTTAAGTGAAATAATGCAAATTTTGATGTAAACTTATTTGTAATTTGTAATGCTTCCTAGTTATTTCAGGGGCCACATATGAAGTATTATGTAGCCAAAGGCATAAAGGTTGACCACTTAACATGTCAACTTGAAAGGTACATTAGTTAAGGGCATGGGTTTTGGAACTGCAGTGCCTGGACTTAAATCCTGGTCCTGCCACTTACTACCAATATATTCCTTAGCAAATCACTTAATCTCACTAACCTCAATTTCTTCATCTTAAAAATAGGGATAGTAATGCCTATCTTGGAATTATTATAAGGTTTAAATAGGTAAAGTAGAAGTACTTAGAACAGTCTCTAGCACTTAGTAAGTTTTCAGTAACTGCTAACTATTACAATATACAATGGTTTTTAAAACTATACTAGTAGTTTCATGTAAAATTCTTTTATTCTGGGGCATCTGGGAGGCTCAGTCAGTTGGGCATCTGCCTTCAGCTCGGGTCATGATCCTGTTGTCCTGGGATCGAGCCTGTGTAGTGCTCCCTGCTCAGCTGGGAGCTTTCTTCTCACTCTCCCCCCCCACCCGACTCATGCTCTCTGGTGTACACACACACACTGTCTCTCTCTTCCAAATAAATAAAATAAAATTCTTTTATGCAATCCAAGCTTAAGTGAAGGTAGGTAATATACTCTTATTTCTGCTGTTGAAATATTTGTTTTCTTCTTTTTTGCAGCTACACAGCTACTCTTAGCTACTACCCAAATTCTCCAGAATGATCTAATTGATGCCTCTGACCTTGAAGAATTTTTGATAAACAATGACTTTCATGCAGCTAATGTTTTACTTAATGAAGTATTAAGACATGAACCTGAACATGGTTGGTAGTTTGAATGCATCTGTGTTATAAAGGCCATCGTCTACTAGTGGGGGTGGGAGATGTATGGATGGGATACACAACAATGGAAGGCATGCTGTGGGAGCTGCAGTGGGATGACTGAGGAACACCAGTGCTACCCTGGTGTGCCAAGTCTGAGCCCTGTGAAACCAAATGGAGGGGTAAATCAGGGCCTACTTTATCTCTGTCGGTGGTGGTACTTGGGAGATGAGGCTACTTTGGCTGGCATGGGCAGTACTCAATCAGAATGCCATGCACAGAGTACAACAGAGTCCTTGAGGCCCTTTGCCAGGTATCAACCCGTTGGAAGGTGAACTGCTGATATCCAGGAATACCTCTGGTGGTATTGCACATGGTTTTGGGGCTCAGGGAAGCGTATATTTATAAACATACAAAATAATTTCATTATTTTAATGATTGGTATTGTTGAATGTTATCTTTGCTACATTTTCAAAAGAGAGGAGCAGTAGTCTTTATTTTTCTCTTATCTGTAAGAGATGCCTCAGATGTTAAGTAGAACTCAAAGGCGAACCCTAATGAGCCGAGAGTTTTATTTACGGGAAAGTTATGGATTATTGATTTAATTTCTTAAATTATATGGGATTACAAAGAAAATACCATACTTTCTTGTTAATATTGGCAGTCTGTATTTTTATAGGAATTCATCCATTTCATGTAACTTTTCAAATTTTTTGGATAAAGTTGCCCTTGACCTCTACTTTTTATCATTTTTGATGTCTGCCTGATCAGTAATAATATCTTCATTTTCATTCTCAATATAAGTGATTTGGAGCTTTTTTTTTCCCACCCAGTCTCCACAGAATTTTTCTTTACCTTTTTGTAAAATTGAGATATAATGGACATAGAACATTGTGTAAGTTTAGGATATACAGTGTGTTGATTTGATACATATATATTGCAAATGGTTATCACTATGGTGTTTGCTAACATCTCTATCACATCACATGACTGTAATTTGTTTTTTTGTGGTGAGAACATTTAAGGTCTAGTCTCTTAGCAACTTTCGAGTATATAATACAGTTTTAGGTCAGCACAGCAGTAAATTTCCAGAACTTAATCATCTTCTAACTGCAAATTTGCACCTTTTAACAATATCTCCCCAACTCACTGCACCCCCCGAGTTGCTACTAACTACCATTCTACTCTGTTTCTATGAGAATGGCTTTTTTAGATTCCACATATTAGTGATATATACAGTAATTGTCTTTGTCTGACTTATCTCTTCTAAGCATAATGCCTTGAAGATCCATCCATTTTATTGCAAATGGCAGAATTTCCTTCTTTCTTGTGCTGAAATAATATTACACTGTATATACATACCACATCTCTTTATTCATCTGTTGATGGACACTTAGGTTATTTCCATATCTTAGCTTTTGTGAACAATGCTACAAAATACGTGGAAGTGTAGATATCTCTTAAAGATCCTGTTTTCATTTCCTTTGAATATATACCCATAAGGGGGATTGATGGATCATATGTTAGATCTATTTTTAATTTTGGGGCAGTCCTCCATACTGTTGTCCATTGTGGCTGTATCAATTTCCATCTCCACAACAGTGAATAAGGGTTCCCTTTCTCCACATCTGTGCAAACCTTGATCTCTTCTTGATGATAGCCATTCTAACAAGTGTGAGTGATATCTCATTGTGGTTTTGATTTCCATTTCCCTGATGATTAGTGATGTTGAACAACTTTTCATGTACCTGTTGGCCATTTGGATGTCTTCTTTGGAAAAAATTTCTATTCAGTTACTCTGCCCATTTTTTTTCATCATTTTGTTTGCTTGTTTGTTTGTTATTGAGCTGTGTGAATTATATATTTTGGATATTAACCCTTGACCAGATACATGGTTTGCAAATATTTTCTCTCATTCTGTAGGTTGCCTTTTCGTTTTGCTGATTTTTTTTTTCCTGTACACAAGCCTTTTTTTTTTTTTGAATTTAATACTATGTTTTATTTGTGACAGTATATCCCAAATAGTATCCATTTGATGTGTACACAAGCCTTTAAGTTGGATGTAGTCCCACTTGTTGGTTTTTGCTTTTGTTGTTTGTATTTGGTGTCGTGTGAAAAAATTATTGCCAAGACCAGTGTCTGAAAGCTGCTTCCTTATATTTTCTTCCAGGAATTTTATAATATCAGATCTTACATTTAAGTCTTTAATCCATTTTGAGGTAACATTTTTGTGAGTGGTATAAGATGGAGGAGTGATTTCATTTTTCTGGATGTAGTTATCCAGTTTCTCAATACCGGTTATTGAAGAAACTATCCTTTTTCCATTGAATGTTCTTGGCTCCATTGTTCAATATTAGTTGAGTATATGTGGGGGTTTATTTCTGGACTCTGGACATTTTTGTTCTTTTTCCTCACCCCACAGCCTATGAACATTTAATGTCATAGATAAATATTTACTGATGTCCCATGGCCACAAACCATTGTAATAGCTAAGATTTTTTTTTTCTCCTCTAAGAACTGGTTTTCCTTCTTGAAAACCTATTGCTCTACATGAGGATGTATGTCTTAAACATATCTAGAACTTTAATTTCTGGATATACTGCTATGTCCTACTTTCCAGTATTTTACTTGAACTTTAACACATTTGTAAGGAATATTGGTCTATAGCCTCTTACCTACCCACGATGTGGTTATTTTTGTTTTGTTTTGTTTTGTTTTGGGTTTTTGTTTTTGTTTTCTTATAGTTTGGGGGCAAGTAGGAGCTACTGAAGGATTTTCTTCAGAGGAGTAACCAGATTTTTTAAAGAGAAGGACCTCTTTTGCTGCATTGCAGAAAATAAATGTAGAGAAATGAGACTAATGGCATAGATTTTTTTTTATTAACATATAATGTATTATTTGCTTCAGGGGTACGGGTCTGTGAATCATCAGGCTTACACATTTCACAGCACTCAACATAGCACATACCCTTCCCAATATCCATAACCCAGCCACCCTATCCCTACCCCCTCACCCCTCCAGTAACCTTCAGTTTGTTTTGTGAGATTAAGAGTCTCTTATGGTTTGTTTCCCTCCCAATCCCATCTTGTTTCATTTTTCCCCTCCCTACCTCCCATGACCCCCCACTCTGCCTCTCAAATTCCTCATATCAGAGAGATCATATGATAATTGTCTTTCTCTGATTGACTTATTTTGCTTAGCATAATACTCTCTAGTTCCATCCACGTTGTTGCAAATGGCAAGATTTCGTTTCTCCTGATGTCTGCATAGTATTCCATTGTATATATATATATATATATATATATATATATATATATATATATATATATACCACATCTTCTTTATCCATTCATCTGTTGATGGACATCTAGGTTCTTTCCATAGTTTGGTTATTGTGGCTAGTTTTAACGATGCTGTTGTAATAGTGCAGACATTAACTAGCATAGTGATAGATTCAAGAAGTATTTGGAAATAATTAAATAGAAGTTGGTAATCATATTGTTTGCAGAAGTTAAGGAGGAAGGAACAGGATAGGCTGATTCCCAGGCTTTTCACTTTGATTATAATTTGACTCTTAGTTTCTGGTATATTAATTCAGAAGCAATAGCTCTTTCAGCCAAATTTTACTTTGCATTACAGAAAATGGCAAGATTACCATTCAAGAATTTTTAACTAAGTTCTGCAATACATTAAGAGTTCCTAAAGATACAGGTGAGTTTTACTTCATAGGTATCTACTGCCTATATCTGGAAGGGCAAGCAGTGGTTTTCATGTTAAAACAACACAGGATTAGAGAGAGCATAGATAAGTAAGAAACAATATGAAGATAAAACAATACAATATTGGGTTATATAATTTTTGTCCAAATTATTTGGCAAAGACTGCTAAGCTTTCCCTAAACTCAGAACTGTAGGTATACCCTAATCATGCTAGAAAATTACTGGATTATATAATATTCTCTGAGATTATTTGCTAGGTATACCTGACCTAAATTTATTAGAAAATTATAAATGGTTGGAAAATAATTTTTAAAACTTTGACAAACCTAGCAAAGGGGATTTTATGCTTATCTTCTTTGTTTTTAATGTATCCTTAGCCACTGTCTTGACTACACTATTTTAGGACAAGTTTATGTTTATTACAATGTGACTTATATATAGTAAAACCACCTATTTTAGGTGTACAGTTCTTTGAATTGTTGATAATAATGTCATGTAACCATTACTAAATAGCACATAGAATATATCACCCCAGATATATTTTTTTTTCTTTTTCTTTTTCTTTTTTTTTTTTTCTTTTACGAGGGGCCGGTGGGGGGTGGGGTGGGGGCATGAAGCCAAAAACAAAATAGTTAGGACATTCCCACGATCCCACGTCTACAAGATGCCAAGAGTCCGATCTACGTAGAAATTAGATTAATAGTTGCCTGGACAGGAGGTGGGAAGAGGGGACATGAAGGGCATTAGGGATATCTTTAGGGTGATAACTGCATGGTTCCAAATGTACTAAGTTGGATTGCAGACTACAGAGGTGAATTTCATGGTCCCTTGGGAGCACAATAAATTGCCCTTAAAAAAATAAAAAGCTTTGTGTCAAAGGCTAAGTGTTCCTCTGGTGTCAGTGTCTTTGGGGCTCCCTAGAAACTTCAAGGTTAAGAGATGTGTAGTTCTTTCCATTGTGTTCCCAGTTATTACATAGGAGACGCAGGGATGTGGTGCTAGGGTGTGAGGGAAGGAAAGCAGTCCAGAATTCTATAGCCTTAGGTTTGTCTTTTGTGAGCTTTAGAAGAGCGCTCCAGCACCCACTCTCCCTTGGGGGGAGGCTAGCATAGGGAGACTAGAAGGTGAAAGGGGGCTGGAGTTTGGACTCCCTTTCCCCTTAGTTGACTAGGCTCCAGTAAGATAGTTTCTCCTTGCTCTTGAGGATAGACCTTGTTCATAGAAGGCACTGATAGATTTTGTGTCCTTGCATAGTCCATCCCCTCTCTGAACCTTCATCCCTGGTAACCACAGATGTATTCTTTGACACTAAAGTTTTGTCTTTTCTAGAATGTCACATAAATGAAATCATAACATATGAAGCTTGTTTGAGTCTGGCTCCTTTCACGTAGCATATTATACTTTATATTCATCGACATTTTGCATGTGGTTTGTTTCATTTTATTGGTGAATATTATTCCATTGTATGAATGTACAGTTTATCCATTTAGCAATTGATAGACTATTGAATTATTTCTGGGTTTTGATGCTTATGAATGAAGCTTCTATAAACATTTATATACAGGTTTTTGTGTGTACATATATTTTCATTTCTCTTAGCTGAATACCAAGAAGTAGGATTGCTGGGATATATGGTAAGTGTGTATTTAAATTGATAGAAACTGCCAAATATGAATTTATGATAGATAACATTCATTTATGATAAGAACTCTCAACAAAGTGGGTATAGAGAGAACATCAACATAATGAAGGCCACAACTAACATTATACTCAATGGTGAAAAACTGAAAGCTTTTCTTCTAAGATCAGGAACAAAATAAGGTTGCCCATTCTGGTCACTTTTTTGTTTTGTTTTGTTTAGTGAAGTGCATTTGACATGCAAAGTTGTATTAGTTTCAAGCGTACATCATAGTGATTCAACAGTTCTGTGTATTACTCAGTTCTCCCCATGATAAGTGTAGTTACCATCTGTCACCACAAAATGGTATTACAGTATTAACGACTATATTCCCCATGCTTTAATTTTTCTCACCACTTTTATTCACAGTATTAGAAGTCCACTGAGGACAATTACATAAGAAAAAGAAATATAAGGCATCCAAATTGTAAAAAAAAGAAGTAAAACTATTCCTATTTGCAGATAACATATTATATACAGAAAACCCAAAAGGCCCTATCAAAAAAACTGTTAGAACTAATAAATTTTGTAAAGTTGTAGAATATGAAATCAATATAGAAAAACCAGTTGCATTTCTATTCACTAATAAGCTATCGGACAAAATATTAAGAAAACTATCCCATTATAATTACATCAAAAAGAATAAAATATTTAACAAAGGAGGTGAAAGACCTGTACACTGAAAACTATAAGACGCTGACAAAAGAAATTGAAGATGACACAAACAAATGGAAAGATATTTCATGCTCAGGGATTGGAAAGTCAAATATTGTTAAAATGTCCATACTACCCAAAGGAACCTACACACTTAGTGTAAACCCTATCAAAATTCCAACGGCATTTTTCACAGACCTAGAACACATAATCCTAAAACTTGTGTGGAACCACAGAAGACCCTGAAGCTCCAAAACAATCTTGAGAAAGAACAAAGCTAGAGCCATCCTACTTTCTCATTTCAAACTTTATTACAAAGCTATCGTAATAAAAACTGTATGTTATTGGCATAAAAACAGACATGGAAATCAATGGAACAGAACAGAGAGTGCAGATATAAGCCCTTGCGTATTTCGTCAATTTGTCCATGACAAAGCAGCCAAGAATAAACAATGGGAAAAGACAGACTCTTTGGTAACTGGTGCTGGGAATACTGGGCAGCTGTATGCAAAAGAATGAAACTGGACTGCTATCTTAGACTGTGCACAAAAATTAGGTCAAAATGGACTAAAGACTTGCACATAAGACCTGAAGCCACAAAACTCCTAGAAGAAAACATAGGCAGTAAGCTTTTTGACATCAGTCTTTGAAAACATTTTAAAAACCCCAAATTTTGTCTATTAATACAATACCATAGGTAAAGTCAAAGAACAGATAACAAAATGGGAGAAACTATTTGCAGTGTATATCACAGAAGAAATATAGAAAAATGGCCAAAAGTCATGGATATAGAAATAATTAAAAATTTATAAAATGGCCCAAGAACATATTGAGATGTTTGATTTTATTCATAATAAGAAATATGCAAACTAGGGGCACCTGGGTGGCTCAGTGGGTTAAAGCCTCTGCCTTCATCTCAGGTCATGATCTCAGGGTCCTGGGATTGAGCCCTGCATTGGCCTCTCTGCTTGGCAGGGAGCCTGCTTCCCCCTCTCTCTCTGCCTGCCTCTTTGCCTACTTGTGATCTCTCTCTGTCAAATAAATAAATAAAATCTTAAAAAAAAAAAAAGAAATATGCAAACTAAAATGGAGATTCAATTTCTCACCCATTAGACTGACAGAAATTGAAAACCTTGACAACATACTCTGTTTGTTAGTTTGTAGAGAAAAAGGCATTTATCTGTAGCTCATGAGCATGTAAAATACTACCATTCTTTTGGAGGGAATTTGGCAATGTCTAACAAAACTGCATATGCGTTTACCTTTTGACTCAGCAATCCCACTTCTAGGAATTTTCCTTGAAGATATCCTGCACCAATGTGAAAATACAGATGCATAAAGTTATTCATTACAGACTTATTTGAAATTGCAAAATAATGGAAAATACTTAAAGTGTAAACCTTGGAGATTAGTTAAATAAACTATAGCTTCTATACTGTACAACTATAAAAAAGAATAAAAAAAAGAATTTCATAACAGTACTTTTTAATACCACTGCTTTTCTGCCTTTCCATTATTTAAAGCTACAGATTTCCCTCTGAGCAATTTCACTGCATCTTACAAAATTTTATATTATGTTTTGATAATCACTTATTTAAAATATTTTCTAATTTATCTTGTGATAGCTTTTTGAAATGTGAGTTGTTTAGAAATGTACTAATTTCCAAATATTTGGATATTTGGATATTTTCTAGGTATCTTCTTGTTACTGATTTCTAATTTAATATACCTTGGTCAGAGAATTTATTTTGCACAATTTAAGTGCTTTTAAATTAATTAAGATTTGTTTTAAAGACTAGCGTGTGGTCTATCTAGGTGAATATTCCATGTACACTTGAAAGAATGTATATTCTATAGTTATCCGGTAGTGTTCTGTAAATATCCATTAGGTTAGATTGTTTGCTAGTTTGGTTGAATATTCTAATTCTTACTGATGTTTATTCTACATGTTCTATTAATTACTAAGTGCAAGATGCCCTTATCTGCAGCTTATTGTGGGTTCATCTATTCCTCCCTTTAATTCTGTAAGTTTTAGCTTACTAGAAGGCTCTTGTTAGATGTACACATTTGGTGTTGCAGAATTTATGTATATGACCATAGGAGTTATGTCATGTACTTTGTCTATTGCTGTCTTTTGTCTTATTTTTATTGCTCCTCTATTCCTTTCCTCCAATTTCCTTACTTACATTTATACATTTATGTACTTATTGTCATGTATCTTATTTTATTTAAAATAAAGCTTTTAAATGATATTGCTAAATTATTTTACAGAGAGTTTATTAAATCATCCATAGGCAATATAAGAAAATAATTATTCTTGGTGCACTTAAAAATTTCACAATATAATTATCCATCTCTTTGTTTAGTTCCTTCAGTTTTTTCATTACATGTTTTTCAGACTCTATCATTAAGTACATACAAATTTAGAATTGTTATGTCCATCTAGTGGATTGAAATATCATTATGAGGGGCACCTGGGTGGCTCAGTGGGTTAAGCCGCTGCCTTCGGCTCAGGTCATGATCCCAGGTCCTGGGTTCAAGCCCCACATCGGGCTTTCTGCTCAGCAGGGAGCCTGCTTCCTCCTCTCTCTCTGCCTGCCTCTCTGCCTACTTGTGATTTCTCTCTGTCAAATAAATAAATAAAAATCTTTAAAATAAAAAAAAAAAAGAAAAAAAAAATATCATTATGAAATGTCTCTCTTTATCTCTAAAAATTCCTCTTCACTAAGGTCTACTTTGTCATATTTGTATAGCTATACTG